TTTTCGCTTCTGTTCTGGGATATGGACATAGGCAACGCACTCAAAAATTCTAAAATAATCTACGACCGATCTTTGATCGGTCCAAGCTTCTTGTGGTATGATATTTTGAACAGCTACTGTGGGGCTTCTATTCAAGATATGGACGCTCCAATTGACTGCTTTAGGCCAGAAAGCTTTTGAAACTTCACTTCTTGTTAAAAGACTTTGTACCATGTTCAAAACTATGTGATTCTTCTTTTCACAAATGCTATTTTGTTGAGGTGTGTATGCTGCAGTTAGTTACTTCTTTATTCCTTGCTCATCACAAAAATTAACAAATTCTTCTTAATTGTATTCTCCATCACGATCACTATGCAATACCTTGATTAGAGTCGCTACTTCTTTTTCAACTAGAGATTTGAAACTTTTAAAAGCTGTGAGAGCTTCAGATTTTTCATGCAAATAATAAATCCAAGTTTTTCTACTAAAATCATCAATGAACGGTATAAAATATCGTTTACCTCCATTTGACATCGGAGTGGTGGGTCCACACACTTTTGGATGCACGAGTTCCAACGCCTTCATTGTTCTCCATGATTTTCCTTTCTGAAATGGTTCTTGATGTTGTTTACCAATTACTCATTCTTCACAAATCTGAGAAGAAGTTTGTATTTGTGGGAGCCCTGTCACCATATTCTTTTGCTGCAATGTCTTTAAACCTCCAAAATTTAAATGCCCATACCGAAAATGCTAAAGCCAGCTTTCATCTTTCAACCTTGCAGTGAAGCATGAATTAGTGATAGTGTGGAGGTATAGTGGAAACATCTTGTTAAGTGTCATATCAACTTGGGCAATTAATCCCAATTTTTCATCTTGAAGTTTACAAACTCCATCTTTAATCGAAATCTCATATCCCTTTTCTTGTAGTTGGCTAATACTCAACAAATTTGTTTTCAAATCTGGAACAAAAAGAACATTAGATATAATATGAACAAAATTTCTTTTTGTTTGAATTGTTACCTCTCCTTTTTCCATTACAAAGACTTTGGAATCATCCCCAAACTTCACATTATCATGAAAAGACTCATTTAACACCGAAAACGCAGACTTGTCACTGCTTATATGGTTGCTGCAACCTGTATCTGGTATCATAAATTCTTTAGCTTTTCTTCTTTAACATTACAGACCATCAGCAAAGACACTTCTTCATTTTCTGCAAAGTTAGTTCTTTCTCCATTTTCATTCTCCAAATTAACTCGACATTATGATTGATAATGACCATACCTATGACAACAAAAACACTCAACATCTGACTTGTTTGCCAACTTTGTTTTGAAGGATGTAGAGTGATAGCTTCCTCGTCCTCTTCCTCTCCGTTGGACATGAGACTCATGTTGGTGGTGATGATTTTGGTAACCACAATCATTGTTTCCTCTACCTTGGCCTTAATTTTGGTAACCATGGTCATTATTTCCTCAACCTCAGCTTTGCCTCTACCACGACCTCCTCTGTTTGCGGAATGATTATCTGTAAAAGCTTTCAATGCATGCTCCTCCTTCTCCTGTTGGCAAATTTTTCGTTCATGAATGAACAAAGAACTTTGCAACTCATCAATTGAGAGTTCCTTGATGACATGAGTTTCCTTAATGGAACAAACTACAAAATTAAATTTTGGAGTCATGGAGCGAAGTGTCTTCTCAACCACAGCAACATTATCTATTTTGTCATCATGGATACGCATCTTGTTGACAATGACCATTGTACGTGAAAAATAATTAGTTACCGACTCACCCGATTTCATTCGTAGTGTTTTAAACTATGAACGAAGGGGTTGAAGTTGTTGCCTCTTTGCCCTTGCAGAACCTTAGTATTTTTTCTTCATGAAATCCCAAATATGCTTGGACGTGTCTTTGCAAAGGTTGGTTTCCAAGATTGAACGATCAATTGCTTAGAAAAGATAATTTTTTGCCTTTAAGTCTTTCAAGCACAACCCTTCTATTTCCCTTTTTTGAGCCTCTGTCATTGCTGTAACATTGCTGATTCCTCAATTCCCTTAGAAACAACTTGCCAATACTCTTTGGACCTCAAGAAGTTCTCCATCAACATACTCTAGTGATCGTAGTATCCATCAAAATGGGCAATGGATGGTTGAACAAAGTTGTTGGTTGCAATCACTTTGTTTGCAGTGGTCCTGATACCACTATTACAAACAAATAAATAAATGCTACTACAATATGATACTACTATTACAAACAAATAAATAAATGCTGCTGCAATATATTGCTTCTATATAGAAAAGAGTTTGAGATAAGAAAATAGCAGAGAATTATAATGAATTGTTGCTTACTATTATTCACTTAATTCAAGCGTTTAAATAGACAAATACAAATAACTAATTGCTAGAAATTAGAAAATACCAACAAAAAAATGAAATTATAAGATCAATAACAAAATTACTATTTACTAAAGATATGATTTTTCCAACCAACTGGTTGGATTTAAACTTTGCAAGCACGTAGGTACAGCCTTAACCCATAATTGTAGCCCAGATGATACATTGGCTAACTTCAACGCAATCAGCTATCAGCTTAGCCACGGAATTTGATAGTTGAGTTGAGAGGTGCAAAATCCAGAAGCTTGTCCAAATATTCCCTCCATTTTAAATGGATAATGCGTAGAAGTATAAGCAAGGGAAGGATAAAAAACAAAGAAACAGAAACACAGCCCATGGGGCAAATATGTTGAATTTTTAGAATTACGTTCAATAGATATAAATGTATTTTGTTTGTTGTGCTAATATATCTTTATAAATTTAAAATTGATGTGATACAATTTTTTGAGTTAAAAAATTTATGAAATTTCATTAAATTTATTTTTAGAAAAAATGTAAAATAAATTATACTGTTTAAATCTTAAATATAAGTAAAAGAAGAATTTTTTTACGTTACTATAAGTTTAAAATTTTTTATATTAATAAATAGTAAAATAATAAATTATAATATATTAAATGTAAGTTAAATAAAATATCTAAATTAAGTGTAAAATTTTTTAAATTTGTAATAATATAAAAAATCTTACTTTACATAAATAATAATTAAAATAATTTAACTCGTAATTTAATATTTTTGATCCATGACGGTCCAATCTCCCTAGTTTGCCGTTGTCTTAGTTACATTTTAGAGCACACAAGCAGTGCCCCAGACAGCCTCTGTTTGCACTAAAACGATGGATCAGGTTGGTAAGCTATTTCTAGGGGCGAGCGCTACGTGGCTGCATGAGTTTTACCTTACCGACTTGTAATTTTCACTAATGCATAAAGCCACTATGCTAAAGGCTTCTTTGTTTTAAAATTATAAATTTATTTTTAATAAAATATACATTTTAATAATGATGTGTAGTGTGTGTCTATATATATTACTAATGTTAAGAAGAATTGTAAGCATAAAAATCGAAGTCCAATTGCAGTTTTATAGCCCGTTTGATTTATAATCAAGTAGAAATAAATTTAATAAAAATAATTTTTGAAATATATAAAAATAGTATTATAATTTTAATAATATCACAAAACAATTTGTTTGGGCTATTTTTTACTAATTAATGCCTTCAAACTGTTGATTTTACATTTATAGTCCGTAATTGTTCTTTATTTTAGTATTATTACTTTTGTCATGTTAATATTATTCTCATTTTCATTATTATTACCATTACAAAATTATTAATAACAACAATAATAATAATCTACATTTTTCACCATTATCATTCTTTTTCCACTTTTATACTATTTTTTTTATCATTTTTATTAAAACAAAAGACTAATTTATTAAAATTATTTATATATTATAAGTTTATATTTTATTCTAAAATTACTCATATTTAATAGATGAATTAACGACTTATATATTAAATTTAATAACTAAAGCATCTAAATGGGTCTATATTTTTTATAATTAGATAACAAAAATAATCCCTATTAGTTTTTATAAAAAAAAAATGGAAAGACAGGGAGAGGGTAATTATTTTTACAAATCAGAGTTAATTTTAAACATATAAAATAGTAAATTTGATTAAAAATATTTATTATATTTTTTATAGTTTCTATATGATAAATGCATTTTTTTTTCTAATAAAAAATCAGTTGTTTAGGATGTTAAAGTTTTTCTTATTTTTAAACTTAACATCTTATATTTAAACATTGGGATTGAGAATTTTAATTATACATTAATTTTTTTACATAATTCTAACGTAAAATTCATAACTGTCGAATCAATTCAAACTGTTTTAAAACTGAAACTAAAATTAAAATTCTAGATTCTAATTCTGATTTCATCATTGTAATGCAATTCCAACTAAAATCCATAGATCAAGTTTTATTTCATACCACTTTTTTTCTTTTGCGTCCAAACCATACCTAAAACATAATTCGAAAAGTATAAACTTTAATTATTTATTTTAATAAAATGTAAAATAAATATGAAAAAATAACATGGAAAAGAAATAGATGAATAATAAGATAAAAATATGTTGTTCAGAGAGAGAAATAAGAAAAAAAAGGAAATGTTTTTTTATGTTTGAATGATTTAAAATATTTAAAGAGTAGTTAATAAAAAAAAAACAGAACTTTTAATATATTTTTAAAAATAATTATGCAATTATTATCATTTTTATGCTTTTATATTTAAATTTATTTTCAGTAAAGTAAAAATATAACAATGGATTTCCACTTTTCTTCAGCACTATTAGTATGCGTATTGCTACTAGCTATAATTTTTATATTACATTCTTGTTTACATAATTTTCAAATATATTTTTTGAATATGCACTTAGTTGTAACTTCACCGTATATTTACATAACTTTTTTTAATGAAGATATGAACAAAGTATAAATTCATCAAATTCATTCACATTACATGTAGGAAGACTTGATATTACTTATTCGATGTAAGAATTCCATATTTGATATTATAATTTTTTTTCCTTTACCTTCCTAAAAATATTCATTCACATTGTTTTTTTTTTCCCGGAATTCATTCACATTCGAGGAGGATACAATTCCCAAAGTCCCACGGTTGTGTCTTCCGATGCAGAGGCCATAAGTTTACAATCAGATGAATAAGTGACAGCGTTGCACTGCAAGATAAACATGTCAAACGGAAAAAACATGTCAATTAAATCAGTGACAGTATTGAAGATAAACTTTTTATTTTTAATGTAATAATAATAAATATTAGTACATTTTTTAATAAAAAATTTATTATTTTTACATGCTTAAATTTAACCTAATAGCTGCTGACAGTAAAAAACCCCGAATTGAGAATCACAGTAAAATGTTGCGTCAGTAATGATATCTTCAATTACATCTTTATGATAAATTTGGAAGCGGGATGATACAGAAAAAAAATAGTATTATCTGAATGAGTAAATTAAGACAAAAAATTAAAAAAAAATCTTCACTTATTTTAATGAATAAAACAGTGATAAAAAAGTTATATAATTTTTTTATAATAATTATACAATTTTTTCTTTATTTAACAAAAAAGTAATTTTTTTTTCATTATAGCATTTACTTAATAAAATATATTTTAAATTTTTAATATTTCTTATATTATAAATTTTTTTAAAATAATAACATTTAAAAAATACAAAAAAAGTCCCGTCACCCCTTCCTTCCCACTTTCCCCCTGATTTGGACCAGTTTTAGTTTATGTGGGTTTTCACATGAAGAAGTTCCCTTCCCTTCGTTTTTCTGAGCAATCCAAACAAGGAAAATTTTTAATATTCTATCTGTTTCTGTCCCTCTCATTCCCCTCCTTTTTATAGAAAGCGGCCATTACCGTGCCATGGTGATACTTTAGAACAGCTAAAGCATTTCCTTTGCGGTAATTATATATCCTCACCCTGCCAATAACATAACCGATGTTAAAGGGCAGCAGCATTTGTACCAACGATCATAATATAGATGTTAGTCCTGAAGAGTAAAATATATAAGACAACGAAACTAAAAGTAATTAAAAGTAAAAACTAGACGGGAAACAGGCATCTTAAATTTTCTGTAGAAAACTTATCAAGTACCCTTAATTTTAGACAATGATTTTCTTAGTGTTGTCAATACTCTCCCACCGTAATTTTCAATATACCTTATGATTTTTTATCATTTTTTCTTTATAGCTGTCACTATTGAAAAATGAGAAAACCATCTCAAATTCAAGAAGTCCAATTCCTTTATTTATTCCTATCCAATAAAACCAAATCTTCAGTATAGACAATGAAAATTTCTCTTATTTTATTTCCTTTTCTATTAAGATAAGTGATTTTACCATTTATTTAACAATGGTATCTTCATCCATCATATACTTTAATATTAAATTTTACCTAAATTTTAAAACACTAGTGCATTGTACCGAAAAATTGCTGGTTTATGTAAAGGAAGTTCTTCCATTAATAGCACGCTTGTTTCTTTCGTATAGATCGGACAATGCAACCCTAGAATTATCATTAATATCCGTATTCCGAGTGACCAAAAATGAAATGAAGTTGATAAAATCAGGAGGAGGTAATGCATTTAAAAACCTGTGGTCCCAGCCAGCAGTTGCAGCAATTTTTCCATCAGGCCGAATTGAGGTGCCTGCAATGCCAGGTCGCTCCAAACTGATTTCTTTCTTCACCACACATGTACCCTTTTGTCAAAATGATATATAAATCAGAAAAAATATGAATAAGCAAAAAAAAATGGGGGGGGGGGGGGGGGATGTAGAAAGCATTGAGTAGCAGACTGAAAAATCATCACCAGAAAATATTTCGTAGAAAATAATCATGGAATACAAATTAAGCAAACAGTCATTCCCACTTCCCATCCTGTTTCATAGCTACTCTTGTTAGTTTACTGAATATATCTTGTTCTCTGTTTATTCATACAAATTCAGCATGTTTCAACGTGGACAACAACCTCTAGTCAACACGAATGATCTAACATCCAAGTGACAATCTTCTTTTTGTATGGTGACAAGTGACAACTGGCTTCAACCGTAATTAATGGAGGGATATAATTTTTTTTACCAAGCAATAGTGCACGTCACACATTTGTCTTCATATCTGTAATTATTGACCAGTTTGTATGACTTCAATTACATCGATCCCTCAGTTTGAAGTATGAAAATGTACATCTTATATAAATGGATTCATTATAGTTTTAGTGGTACACCATTTTAATCTATCCAACAATTAAAAATTAGCAACTAACTGAAAGAGAAAGAGAAAGAGAGAAGAAAACACAGTTGTTTTGATATCGTTGTACCATGGATATAAGGCATCCAGAGAGACATAGAGCGCATCATACACACAGGAAATAAACTGACTATTGAAACACGGACACTGACCAAAGGCAGGATCAATAGATTCTCTTAATTACTAGAGGTATTATAGTTTTATTTTAAAAGGGTAAGGACTGTGCTTCTTATCAACATTAAAGATTGAAAATGTTTAAAAAACAGATGAACAAGTTTTAGGAGCAAGAGATATTTCAGTGGAAAAAGAAAATAAAAATAAATGAAAGTTACCGAAGAATAATCCAAGCTGTACATTACAATCTTGTCATCTGCAGCTCCTGAGATACCCCCTTTGCAGGAACCGTCAATACAGATGCTCAGAACTACAAAAGTGATCAGTTATTAACTAAATTTTATTTAAAAAATAAAAAGAAAACTTAGGAAGCTAAATTTCATACCTGGCTCAGAATGGAATTTTACAGAAGTTACTGGAACTCCAGGATACCGTACATCCCACCAAAGCATGGAACCATCCTCATATCTACATCAGAATATAGGATGAGACACAAGTCAATATCTTTACCTAAAACTCCTGTTTCTATAACTACTTAGAATAAAGAAAAAATTAATCAAAGATAATCTAAATATATTCTTAATATTATTTAACACTCCCTCAATCTATAAAGCTTTGTTATAAGTAGCAAATCCGCAATCAGATGACAAAGGACACTAGCCAATCTTGCCAAAGAATTTAGGCAACTAGCGCTCACCCTGAATCACAAAACCTTCAATTCTCAACAGAACTCAGCAACTTTCAAAAGAAACTTGAGACAAATTCAAACAGCCAGAAAGATGAGAAACTACAACTCATTTTATTAGGAAGTTTTCACCAAGAGAAAATCAGCATAAGAAGATGAAGAAATGCAATGCTGGAGCACCTAATATCAAATAAGAGAAACTGGGATGACTCCTATTCCCAAACCTATGACACCCTAGGTCACATTTTTCTAGATGGCTGAAAACATGAGAGACTAGGATGACTCCTGCACCTGGACCTGCAACACCCTTGGTGATAGGATTCATGAGAGCATAATAATTGAGAATAAAGCCAAGTAATTAATGAGATGGAGAGAGAAAGGGAGGGAGGAAAGAGGATCAAGACTATACCCAGCCAAGACATTTAGAAATCCTTGCGATTCATATGGTAAAAACAATTGAAGTGCCATGCACATCCCTGGCAAGAAATGGTTGCTTTAATTTAGTAAAGGATTTTTCATTAAACTATAAGCAATAGACTACTAAAAAGAAAAGAATAAGGAGGACGTTGGAGTGCATTAATGTGAAAAAAAAAAAAATGTAATCACCATGATAGCAATCATAGCACCATGTAAAATGAGAAATGAGAATTTCAAAAATTGATGGTAGAAGTAGTCTCTCAATATGTAATCTCTACCTTTGTTGTGAGCACTTGAAGAGTTACTGGGATTGCTTGAAGGGAATCGTATAAATTTTTCAGCTGACTTGAGATCCCAGATTTCAACCTTTAGAAATGATAGAACTGATGAGCATACGGGTCCAGAATTTGGCAGTGAAATATATTTGCAAAGATAAAGATAACTTCTACATTAGAAAGTACCTCAGAAGAGTTTTCCCCTGACAAAGCCACATATTGTAGACATTCATTATACATATTTTCTGTTAATACAATGAGATTTCATCAATCTCACTCGTAAATCATAAAGTGTCCTCCAATATAGAGTAAAAACATAGTAAGAACATAAAAGGAAATAAGTTAGAACTGCAAGATGAGGAAGTCTGTCCATCTCGGCAGCATTTACAACATACAATAGTTTGTGCAGCCTTTTTAAAAATAAGTTAAAAGAGTTAGAGAAGACCGGTTGAAAAAAGATTAGATAAGGAAACTATCAAATTTCAATTATCATCCAAACCAGCCAAAGCGTATAAAATGCAAGCTGGGTTGGGATTGATTTCAGAAAAAAATAATTGCATCTTTTTTAAGCTAATAAAAATAACATTATTTCTCCAAAATAAGCTGAACCAACACGATTTAAGTCTGAAAGTTCTAGGATGATGTCCATCCATATTCTTTGATGTATACAAGAAAAATAATAGGAGTGGACAGTGCTAGTAATAAATATGTTCAGATTCCTTCTTGCAAGATCAAGTAGACTTTTTCCCTAAATTTTATGGATGTATTGCCATTAGCAATAACTTTTTCAGAAATAGCCAGGATATACATGTTGAAATTCAGAAAGCAATTAGGGGTGCAAAAGAGAAAAACAAAACTAATTAGAACATAAAATTCAATCATTTCAAAAACACCATGCCAGCATAACACTACCTAATCCTTTATTTTGAAGTCAGTACTGAAATCGTCACAGCTCAATGATATTGAGTTATTCCAATATTGTAAAAAATAGTGGGAATTCTGAATCCAAAATGGTAAAACTGGCACAAGTTTCAGAACTTCTTAAACACCAATTTTAGAGTAGAATTCACAAACCTCCAAAGCTTTCAGAACAACTATGATCAGAGTAAGCGTCCTTTTTTTGAACCTCCAGAATTTCTCTATCAGACATTCCTCCTGGCTCTGCCCTATAGCAATCTTTTGATGCTTTCCCTTCTTTTGACCAAAAAGAATGATTCTTCACTGTGGAAAACTTGCAAAAGTGGTAAGTGTTCGTCTTGATTGTAACTGATGGAATCCTGGGTTTGGGGGAGGGGATTAACAGAGAGTAAGATGACACTAAGAACATCTGCGTAGATTGCATCACAAAACACAACCTATCCTTTTAAAACTAAAAATGGATGAGACATTTGTAGAAGTTAAAGAAGTAAATACAAGTGGGCACCTGGACAAACCAGCATCATCAAATTCCCAAACTTTTATAGTTCCATCCCTACCCTGGCTACATGCATACAGAATCTAAATGAATATCCATAAAGCAAGATATACTAAAAAGGTACTAAAATAGAAAGCAACAAAGCAGGGGAAGATCAGGAAGAAATGATGCACCTGACAAATCTATTGGTTCCAAGGGTAGAACTACTGGCAACAGCAACAATCCCATGGGCAGCACTATGTAGCCTGCAGTGTAAAACTAATTTGTATCACAACATGGCTGCTGAAAATCAATGATGTTCTTCACAAATAAGAAAAAAAATGTAGAACTAAGCACCATGCTGATGACACTGTCCTATGCTGAAGGGCATCCCAAATCCTTACTTCGCCATCAGCAGAACTGCAAGCAAGAAGAGCATGGAATGACTCAATATTAAATGAAACTAATTGCACATGCAATCAACTAAATCAGGGAGTTTCTATTGTAGCCTGATGGGCACAGTACCCAGGTCAAGTTGTCAAGCATTTATTGAATGCTGATTTGACAGTAGGTGTTAAAAATTCATAAAATTAACTAGCGGCCAATGAGATGCTTGATGGATACATACCCAATGAAAAAAGATGGGTATTAGTGTATTGGCCATGAAAGATAAAAACAAAAAATGCAGAAACATTTGCAGTGAATACCCGGAGAATAACATTGGCTTAAAGGGGTGAAAACAAATGTCCATGATTGAAGCACGATGTCCTCGTAGCACTGCCACAGGATCAGGAGGTGGTCTCTTGCTCATTTTTTGTTCTTCTTTATGGTCCATTTGGAAATGAAATGACAAAATAGGCTTTCAAGCTCAACTTGTCAAGTTAGAATTTTCAATTTCCTTGGTTGTCACCCAACTGTTTCATTTTAGACTGTTCTGGATCTTGATAGAATTCGAATACTCTCCTGTTCATTCATTCTTTGCTATTTCAAATTTTCAATGTGGTAACTAGTGAAGATTTCCCTTCAAGTATTCGTCATAACCAATGTTTTAAACCTGGCACAATCATTTAAGACATGAGGTCAATGTGGTAAGGACATTTCATTCTTGCTAAGACTTAGTTTAGACTGGTTAATCTTAAGAGCAAAAACAGGTGAGAGAAGAAAAGGGAAAGAGAAATAAAATGTAATGGTAAAATTTTCCTCGAGAATTTCATAAGATTGCATTCTGTTTAAACAACTGATATTATATTTATTTTTCCTTCACAAAACATCAAAACAGATTGGAACATTGACAGATGCAAAACTTCAGTCATTCTCTTGGAAGGTAAATTAATTCACTGAGCCTCACTAAAAAGTTAGCAATACACATCACACGTCTACTGTGAAAAAGAGCACATGAAGATATGGAAATTATTACCCAGTCATCTAGATTCACCTACATAAAGCAAAAACATTAGAAGAAATGCTGATTCAGGTAACTCCTCGATGCTATGTGGAAAAGATAGTCAAAGACCATTGCGTAGAATAAAATATTTTAGCAACCTATCTTGAACACGAACCAGAGAATCATTTTAAATATAAAACTCTTCTGTTTTTGTATGGTTTGGGGCAACAAAAGATTCGAAGAAAAACACGTGATAATTTGAAGTAAGGAATCGAGAAAGGGAGAGAAATAGAAAGAGTAAAGAATCAAAGACCTAAATCGCGATTCTTGATTGTGCACGGAGGTTAGCGATACGGAGGCCAGTCCTCGGTGTTTTCTGATAATAGTAGGATTGTTAGTCTAGACGCTAGAGAAAGCCTGAAAGGCCCAAAAGTTGCTTTGGCATTTTATACTCTTATAATTTTTATTTAAAAATATTATATATAGTTTTCTATCCTATCTAATATTATATATGGTAGAAAAAATTATTAATTATTATTATTGTTGGTAATGTCTTTTTAAAAATTAAGTAAGATATACTTTTAAAAATGTAAAAATTAAATAGGTTTTAAAACGATGAATCGAAAATATAATACCACTAACAAGTATGTCAATTATAAATCAAATAAATGGAGATGTTTTTATGAGAAGAAAAGGGTTGTAATAAGACGAAAAATAACTTTTTTAAGTTAAGTCATGCTATTAAATCACAATGTAAACATATATATTTGTGAATAAAATATTGTTTTTTTTTATAGAGTAATATTACTTATAGGTGTATAAAAGAGTCAAACTATTTATAAACCACTCGAGTTAGATTTATCAAATATTTAATTAAATAAATAGTTTATTTTTAAAATTATGATTATCAAAACTTCATACACTACAAACTATAGGTAGATTTCTTTTAAGAAATTTTAGTTATTGATGAAATATATCTCTTAAAAATTGAAATTGAATAAATATTTGGAAGGAATAAAATTATAAAGTTGAACATATTTTTTTATAAGCTTGTTAGTTCAAATTTTAGAATTTGTTCATAAGTTTTGACACAATTTTCTAATTAAGTTGCATGCAAATACGTGGATATGTGTGAGACCACAAATCTTTGAAATAATAAAATGTTATATTTCAGATTGATGTCAAACTCCATTTGTGATTTATGTCATCCATTACTACTGTCTAGTGATCATGTCAAGTGGTGAATATATTTTTCCTTCAATGAATTATTCTATTCAAATAGAGTTTCACGGAAAGTACGGGTATCTATGGTTTTCCCACTTTTTTTGTTTATCTTTTCAATTGTTGGGTGTATGCATAGGAAAATCACGGAAGGAAAAAAAAAATTGTGTACATACTAACTTTGATGTTCCTGCTATTTCAACCCAATTTGTTAGTGCATGGATTGGAGTGTTCCACAACAAGTAAAAAACATGTAATGGAAGATCGAGGTCGAGCAAATCGATTCAGAAATTACGCTTACCGTTGATTATCAAATTTGAAACTCCATTTCACAGATAATGGATAAATAAATGTACCACCAAATTCTTTCGTTAAACCCAACGTTACTTCAATCAATAAGGTTAATATTCAATATGAACCCCCCCATCTGACCAAAAAAATAAATTTATTTCAATAACGTGCGTAAATTTTGATATTAGTATTGTTTATCTTCTTGTAGTTACATTACTTTCTAAAGTCTCACACTTCATGAGAGTTAAATTGTTATTAACCTTTGTAATTCTAACTAGTTTACTTTAAATCTTTATTTCTAAATAAATAAATAAATTTGCGAGTAAACTTTTAAAAGTGATAAAAAAATCAACCAAACCTAACTGTTATCAAAATTGACTAAAATATAATTTTAATTTTAATATTATAAATTTGAATATTTAATTTAACACATTATATTTTTATTATATTTGTTTTTCTTGTGATACGTAACTTGGTCATTATTCAATATCTAATTACATACATTTTAAAAATTTTAATTTTTTAAAAATCCTTTACATTACGATTTTTTCTTAAAAATTTCCTTTTATGTTTAAGACTTCAAATTCTTAAATCTTAGTTTTAATTACTTTTAAATTTTATATTAAATTTTGTTTTTCTTATCTCAAAGGTTGAATAGAAACACTTTGGAAATGATTCTTTTCAAAATTTATACTTGCTACTATTTTCTTTCAAATGTAAGTAAATATTTTTCTTTAAATTAAAAAAATTACAGAGTACTTATTAAAATATTATTCAACTCGAATGTTCTGCTTCATTTTTTCTTACATTTCTATACTCTTTTTTCTGTATTTTTTTTATCACAATATTTAAATTTTAACTAATTTATAAGCATCGATTATCATAACTAAGTTATACACATTCTCATAGTGATTTTGCAAAATAACAGTAAGGCACGAGAATGTGACAGGAATCTTCTTCACCTTGGGGAAGGACTATCATTCCATTGTACCATATTGTGATTATAGAGAGGGTGTAGGAGCCGCCATGGATATGCGTCACTCCCCACGTAAGCACTTGTCCCTGCATTTTGTTTGGATAATTCGTTAGTTTTAGTTTGACGTATCATAATAACATCTCTTCACTTCTTCAGTCTTGATCGTTGAAACGTGTTTATTTTAGTTGCCTTCAGATTCAAATTCTAATACTTAATAATTTATTTTTATATATTAACAATTGACGCCTGCGATTCTAATTCAGTCGATAGATTCCGCCGACTTGGAACCACAGCGTGTAAACTACTGGCGCTATTTTAAGCCTCTTGGTTGGGTATTGCGTGCTACGCAATCTATCGTTAATAAATTTATCATCGAGTCAAATTTTGAAGTAGCTACGCCGGAGATTGATAATAATGGCGGAAGAAACCACTAAAAACGACGTCGGATTATCTTCGAAAACGAGAAGTTCCAGGTTCTGGCCTTCCGTCCTCCGTTGGATTCCAACTTCGACGGATCGCATAATCGCTGCCGAGAAGTGCCTTCTTTCCGTTGTTAAGTACGTAATTGTGGATTATAATTTTCTCTTCTAAACCCTAAATTGTATTTCTCGGGGTTTGATTGCTGTAAAAAATAGTTTATACTATCTGCGATTGGCTATTCATTTATGATGGATGCTTATGGTTTTTTTGGCCTTGTCAGGACTCCGTATGTTCAAGAGTATGTTAATATAGGGTCTGGTCCTCCTGGTTCCAAAGTTAGATGGTTCCGTTCATCTAGCAACGAGCCGCGGTTTATTAACACCGTTACATTTGACAGTAAACGTGATTCTCCCACGCTTGTGATGATTCATGGTTATGGTGCTTCCCAGGGTTTCTTTTTCCGTAATTTTGATGCGCTTGCCTCTCGTTTCAGAGTCATTGCTGTTGATCAACTTGGGTTGGTTCTGCTTCCCTTCATTCTAATATCGCTGCTGTTCACAGCTACTGTCTCAAATTAATTTTCTGGTCTTGGTTCTGGAAGAAGATAAGTGAATCGGATATAAGAGATTGCTTAAGTTAACTGACTTTTCTAACTTGTACAAATTGGACATGATAAGAAAAATATAATTAGCAGGTTTTTATTATAATTTGTAGCATTTAATATTATCTATGTATAGAAGTTTGTAATTTTCAATAAAAACTTACTATATTAATTACTATATGTAAGTTATTATAAGGTGCAATTTTGTACCGTTTAGAAAAATGGTTAATTAATTAGGTTTCTTTTCACCATATTTTTTTTGGCAACAGACATGAAAATCGTTCGTGCTTAATTATTGAGCTTATTAGGTTCTTTAATAGGTATGTTGCACCTTCTGCATGGGCTTCTTTCTTCACTGTGGTAATTGAGTACTGTAGTCTTTAAGGTCTTCTCCATTTTGAGGAGAGACGCAGTGTCAAATTGTGGTGTTTTATATTTTTCCCTGCACATATAATCGTTGATATATCTTTTCCTCATCCCTATTTCAAAACTTTTTTGCAGTTGGGGTGGATCAAGCAGACCTGACTTCACATGCAAAAGCACTGAAGGTCAGTTAATAGTGTTTACATTGCCACCAGATAGAATGTAATGATACAGTTGAGTCGGAATTGTTAAGTCTTCTTACTTATAAACTAAAAATTATTATTTTTTGTCGATCCCACAGAAACTGAGGCATGGTTCATTGATTCTTTTGAGGAATGGAGAAAAGCCAAAAACTTGAGCAACTTTATTCTACTTGGACATTCTTTTGGCGGTTATGTTGCTGCTAAATATGCACTCAAGGTGAATCCCTTACCACATTTCACTAAAATGCTAAATTCTGTAACTTCTTTGTTTTCTTTACTTAATTGTTCTAATGTCTATTTTAATCATTTTTAATATAGCACCCTGAGCATGTACAGCACTTGATTTTGGTTGGACCTGCTGGATTTACGTCAGAATCTGATGCAATGTCTGAGTGGGTTACAAGGTTTCGAGCAACATGGAAGGGAGCGGTTTTGAACCATCTATGGGAATCTAATTTTACACCTCAAAAACTGGTCAGGTAAAACTGCTCTGTCCCATCTTATTTGTAAGTTAGTGCACCAGGTAAGATATGCTTTGGAATGCTTGTACTGAGGACTTTGATGAAGAACTGAACTGAAGGTTCATTAGAAAATGTAGAATTTTTGTATTGTTATTGCATTTCTTTTGTCTGCCTTGGTGTATCACATACTTGCTGAATATTGTAGTGTTTTGTACTATCTCAAACTCGTTGGCTTCTGAAAAACTGCTTGCTGCATCTGATTATTGAGCTGGCATATTTGTGGTCACAACTAGATGCATGTACTCACCAAAATATTAAAATTTTAAATATTTGACATTGAAATGAAAGGCTGTACTTGATGATAATGTAAAGCAAGTCTGATTCATTGAAGTAGACTAGCATATTGACTTAAATTCATATGACTTATTCATTATTGAATGATGGATTCTGTATGTTATTACTTACTGTAAATCATGGATGAAATCATTTTGGAAGAACTTTTTATCTTCTATTTAGTTACTGGCATGAGGGGCTTGTTGCTTGGGTTGTCATTGATAGAGCATTCAAATCAAATGTGGGATGGACAGATGGTGGTAGGCTGTTGTGAAGAGGGTTGGGGTCCTACTTCTACTTGAAGGAAGAAATTTGCATTTTCTTTATGCTACATCTAACGTTCAATTTATAAATCAAGGAATATGGAGTAACTTAAATGCATTAATTTTCTTTGCCACTTGATTTACTTATGTCCCCCGCTTGGTACAGGAAATGATAATTTCACAGAACAGAAATGAAATTGAAATAGAATGAAATTAGTTAGAATGAAATGATCATTCCCTATATACAATTACTTATGTCCCAATTGGTACATGGTATTAATGCAGGAATCAATCATATTTGATCTACATGATATAAATACCCTTGCAAGAAAAGTAAATAAGATTAACTCTTCTCATGTGTAATGTTTGTTATTTTTTGTAAAATTTAATTACAAAATGATGTTGTCAGAAAGTAGCAAATATTTTTTTTGTTGGAAAACAATTGAGTGTATGCGCATGTTTTGGATAAAATACTCCATCTGTTTTTTATGACATTTTCTTGATAAAACTTTGGTTTACAACTGCATTCCTACAGGATTGTACTGTATATTTTTCATTTATATAATTATTATTCTTTAAAAAGTTTTACATAAATGTTAAAAATTATTTCAATACATGAAAGGTAGGTTAAAAATAAGAAATAACTTTAATGAAGGGCAATAATTGTCACTCTAGAAAATAAATAATTGTCATTCAAGTCTCATGCCATGAAGCATGGAATCACCAATCCCACCTCTTTGGGAAGGAATGGTGATCCCCGGTTCTATGCAATGTAATTGTCACTCCATGCTGTTTTTTGCCAACAAACATGAGAATGCTCATTTCATAGAAGAAAGCATGCAATGGAATCATTATTCCATGTACCAACGTACTATTAGTATTTATTATTATTTTGAACACTTGATTTTATTAAGTTGTCTTTGTTTAATATTTTTTATTTATATATATTTGTGCAGAGGTTTAGGTCCTTGGGGTCCTAACATAGTTCGAAGGTATACAAGTGCTAGATTTGGTAGGCATTCCATTGGGGAAATACTCACTGAAGAGGAATCAGGTTTACTGACAGGTATGGCAAGATAACACATTGATATATGGTATATATGTATGAGTACATTCTAATTTTAGTTTTTCTGTCTATTAAAGATTATGTTTACCACACATTGGCTGCCAAAGCTAGTGGGGAGCTGTGCTTAAAATATATTTTTTCGTTCGGAGCATTTGCTAGGATGCCCCTTCTTCTCAGGTTTGGTGATCATTCTCTTCCTGTTGTTGAACTACAATGTCTCTTCAACTGATAAGTTGTTTCTTAAAAAATGCATTCAGATTTCAGATGGTAGTGTCTTCTGGAGTTTAACAATCACATGCCATACTTCGAAAAGTTTTGTATTTATGATAGTGTATATTTGGGTTAGTGTTGGATAGGCTACATAGTCGCGTCTTAAACTCAGAATTACGCGCATCTTAGAGCGGATGAGGCAGAATCAACCATACTGAGAATCAGTATATAGTACACTGCTTTATAAAGCACTAGTTTGGTTAAAAAACACTGCTTCTTGGGTTGGGACATCTTGCAGTACGTTTGGTCCAAGGGTGGGTGAAACTCCTGCCAGAAAAGTGTTTTGAAATTCCTGTTTGTGTGTGTTGTTTTTTGATACAGCGATGGTATAGATGTTTAAGCCTATAACCTCATCCAACCTACCTAAGCCCCTCACCTGTAGCCTACTTCTAGTGGCTTAATCTCTTGACGTGATTATAAAAACAATATATTAGACTATGTTTAGGAATGAAAGAGTAGTTGCTGCGGGTGATATCGAAACTGCATCTTATGATTCGTACATATCATATCATGTATCATATATATGCATCCTGAGAGGAACGAAAAAAAAAAAGGAAAGGAAGGAATGGGAAACAGAGAAAGACTTCTGACTTTTTTACTGACATTGTCAAGATAACTTTTGCGCCTAAAGAATAGAAACATTAGATTTGTAGTGTGGTTTATTTCTGACTGATTAATGTTGAAGCCTGTTACTAAGGAAAGAGGCCTACTTGGAAATATCCAACTAGTGCTCGGCTCAAAAATAAAGAAAAACCATATCTGAATATTTTCATAAAGAGACCATGAGACAAACTGAAACTTTCTTTGGTTTGTAGATTTTAGGTAAATATGCTAGATTCTTAGGTTAATGCTACACATGGGCTTAAGTGGAGCGGAATTATTGTTAAGACTTTACACCTCTGTATTTTCAAATTCAAATACGGACTCCGTTTACTTGATGTACTGCTATTATTGAGACTCTCTAATGTTTTATCCTCCATAACTCTGGTGTTACAGTGCCTACGAGTGGAAGGTGCCCACCACTTTCATATATGGTTTTCAAGACTGGATGAATTATCAAGGTGCCCAAGAAGCTCGCAAGCATATGAAGGTTCCATGTGAAATCATCAGGGTTCCTCAGGTATCACTTTCCCCGTTTCCCCAAACATGAAACGGTTTTTTTTTTTTGTTATGAAAAATGTTTACTACAGTCATTAGTTCCTGCCAATCAGCAGTTAAGAATGATAATTTTTTATTAGAAAAGAAAACGTTTATCGCCCTAAAAATATAAAAGAATATAAATATTATATTTTTATTAAAAATTTCTATTTAAAAATGTTTAATCTTAGTTTTAAGAGTTGAATAGAACAATTTTTTTAAAATATGATTAGAACTAAAAAATTAGTTACTTGTTGTAGGCGGGGCACTTTGTGTTCATCGACAACCCAACTGGCTTCCATTCAGCTGTATTTTATGCATGTCGAAGGTTTCTTACACCTGATCTACACAATGAATCTCTTCCTGAAGGGCTAACCTCTGCATAGGGCACAATTTTGTGCCAATCCTCTCTATAATATTTTTTTAGTTTTTTACTAATTATATTTCATAATTGAATGAAGCCATAAGTCCTGCTTCATTAAAGTGGAATTTACTGGAAATATTTGTAGGAACAATGTCAACGAAAACGATTTGTAGGAGAAATGTCATTACTGAACCTTGATCGGATTAAAACTTGTTGTGCAAGCGATGTGTTTATGCTGGAAAGACAAATTTAGGATATATTGTAATATGGCAAATATTTTCACTAGAAAAATATCTTCTGGTTTATGTGAGGTCCCTCACGACACGATCACAATTCTCACCAGTGGCTGACTAATTGGTTGGTTAATGAGTTACTGCAGCTTATGACCCCTTATACCTCCAACTCTCGATGCATTGAATACGTGCCAGAATCAAGAAATAAATTAGTACTGCGGTAATGATTTCAGGGGCAAAAACAACTAAATATTTTTTTTAAAAAATTTATGCAGTCACTATTGTTAACCTGGGTAAATAGATATATAAAATCATGCTCTGAGTGCTCATCAGAGGGTCGAACATAATGTTTCTTGCTAACAATTATTTTAAAATATTATTTTTTATTTGATTTAATTTAAATCTAATTTAGATAGTCTACTTAAATATGATGAGTAAGTTTATTATTAAATTTTTTTTATATATACAAAAAATTAAAATTTAAAATTTTATTTAAATAATATTGATTCGTTTGAAAATCGGATAAAAAGTTAAAATATCACAGAAATGGATGTATTATTACGCTTTTTGATGAGAGATATTTTAAATTTCTTAAAATACCGGTTAATATTTTTCATTTTGAGAAGGTCAAATACAGTGACAGCTACTTTCTTTGCTGTACTTTTCACCCTCTTCTCTCCCGTGGACTGACATTGAAGTTAAAATTGACAACGACTAATCGCTTACTGCACTAAATAGTAAATATGCCGTGTGACTGAGTCTGCGAGGGTGCGAAGTGTCATGAGCGATTAAATTCCGGGTTTTTAGTTGTGGGCCTCGCCTACTGTTAAATTAGACGTTGGGACCATCACATCTCCAAAGAAAACCATAGGAACACAGTAACGCAGGCTTTTATTCGTTTTGCCCACGCCATGCAATGCAACGCAATATTACACCATGGTCATTTAATTTAGATATATATTATTCATACATATAATACTTTTTATAAGATTAGTTTTTAAATTTCCCTATGACATCGATCGTCTTTATCTTACATTTTTTCTTTCTATTTCTTAATTCATCATAAGAAAAATGAAACATACAATTTTATTTTTTTTTGAAAAAATTATCACACAAGCAACTGGACATCTTCCTGTCTTTACCAATTCAACTGTCAGTGCCTGGGAATCGGATTCCTTTATAGTGTCATGTAATGGGACCCGTGACATACGTTTTTCGTGCCAATAGTGTCCGCGTTCTGCTCAAAATACCTGGAACCCAGCCATGCCTTTTTATCAGAATCGAACGTATTATTATTCTATTTTTCGCCAAAAGATATAAAATGATGATGGCTTTTAATATATCAGCGGTTTGTAAAAGTATATGTTGTGCCTGATTGGGTAACGCACGCATATAAAAAAGTTATGAGAGAATTGGTTATCAACCTCCTCTCATGTAATGTGTGTTGAAATTCCTGTCAACTCCTTTTCAACATGTATACAAACAGGCTGGTTACAGTGGCATAAGGTAATATATGTCCTGTTAACTGCATTGTCTTTTGGTTCAAATGTTTGCTTTTGTAACGTTGGATAATTTATTAACTAATATTTTCATAACATTGGATTATAAAATCTAAAACAATATTCCAAATGGTTGCTTTTACCGTTCTGATCTCTAACTCGTTTCAACAGAAGCTTGTTACAATTCTAAACCCAGAAATAAAATCGTTGCGCTTATGCTGTTGCTTTATTTACAAAATCTTTCATCTACCAGTCCTTATTGTGTTAGTTTTAAAACAGATCAAAAGATATATATATATAAACATAAATTTTACACAAAAGTTATGATTAATAATATTAAAATAAATATAAATATATAATCTCTTCATTTCTGCACACTTTGATTTCTATCCAAATAGTTCTATTAGGAACCATGTTGTTGGTACTTTTTCTGTAAGCAAATAAACAAATAAAACTTCCTAGAATCAAAGGAAAAATCTGAAACCGACAAATTCAGATGTCACTTTTCACGATGCGTCTGTCTGTTCCATTCCAAGCTCCATGTCACACTAACGGTAACTTTCCGGGATGCTCCTCTCGTGACACGTGGACACATTGCTTTCTTCAACCATGGAACTCTTCCTCTTGGCGGGAATAACTTAATCGTTATCTCGCGCAAGGAATTTCGGTAGTGCAATTTGACCAGCTGAAAACTGCGCCGTTGCTGGGTCAAGGCTGGCTTCACGAATTTCTTTTTTTGGGGCAGCACTATAGGGCAAATAATAAAATAATTATTATGTTAACTTAATTAGGTAGAATTACAAAACAATTTTTATACAAATTTAAAGTGAACAATCAAAAAACCTGAGGAGATTATGCAGGTACATTTTACTTCCTTGAATATTCTTTTTTTTTTCCTTTTAAAAAATCATGCAGGGGAAGGTAGTGTTGTAGGATCAGCTGAGGATGGGATCTCCGGTCCGACCCGGCAACCTTGGAGCATGAAAGCAACGTCAGACATAGATGGTCGATCAAGAGGATCAGTTGCTGTGCATAGGAGACCAACTTTGACCCCTAACAAAAACTCTTCCCATTCTGATGACTCAGGGTCAAGTTCAAGCAAACCAGGCTCCAACAATTCCGAAATTTGGCCCCTTTGTAACTGCTTTTTCACCCACTTCACTATATCCTCATCTTGCGTGAACATAACTGGTTTCTTCCCCGTTAGGATCTCCAACAACACAATACCAAAGCTGTATACATCACCCTCCTTTGTTGCTTCCCCACTTAATGCAACTTCTGGTGACACATAGCCTAATGAGCCAACTTGGGTTGTCGACGAGGATGCTTCTGCTGGTGTTGCTATTGTCAACCGCTCCAACCCAAATTCAGACAAATGGGCTTCAAAATCTGCGTCAAAGAGAACATTTTGAGGCTTCAAATCACCATGCACTATTGGCACCGAATGCAAGAAAGCAAGCCCTCGAGCAATGCCTAGTGCAATGAGATGACGCATTGGCCAATTCAGCACATGGCCATCTTGTTGTGATGCCTCTTGAAGCAGTGTTCCTAGGTTCCCATTTGGCATGTAGTCGTAAACAAGAAGCCTTACATCAGAGGGCGGTCCTGCATAATAGCCACGCAGAACTGTTAAATTTCGATGCTTCACTTTGCCCAGTGATTCTGCTTCTTTGCGGAAGGTTCCCTCGTCTATGAATCCATCAACGAGACGACGAATGGAGAGAACCATGCCATCTTGATAATATGCTTTGAACACAAGGCCATATCTTCCCCTACTCAACACGTTTTCCTCATCAAAGTTTCTGGTTGCTTCCAATGTCTCCGCGTAAGTGATCTTGTTGTTGAACATCACTAGCTTTGGTCCTCCATTTTCACCACTCCCTCTACTACCCCTCTCTGCTCCCACACTTGCACTTGTTGAGCTCCGTTTCTTCTCACCCATTACCCCTTCTCGAAGCTTGTTGCGCCACCTAAAGAGGCTGTAAACATAGCCACAACAACACAACGCCAAAAGGCATAGTCCAGCCACGGCCACCCCTATAAAAATTATTAGCCTTCTCCTCTTTCGCCTTCTTATATTTGCACACTCTCTTTGCAAGGGTTTCCCACATAACCTCTGATTCATCGCAAACACAGAAGGGTCATTGAATCTAGCACCAAGCATTACCGGAATCTCACCCTCAAGATTGTTTCTCGAAAGATTTAAATACTTCAAACCAGAAATGCGTGAAAGTCCAACTGGTATCTCCCCGGTCAACATATTTGAAGAAATGTTCAATAAAGTCAATTTTGATAGTTTTGACAAGGAACCTGGTATATGACCCGTGAAGTGATTACTATCCAACAAGAGTGATGTCAAACCAGAACATTGTGATATTTCATCTGGGATTTCACCCTTCAATCTATTGTGTCCCAAATTAAGCTCCTTTAAACGGTAAATGCGCGAGAAACTACCCGGAATGTTACCCTCCAAACGATTTGACCGCAGCTGCAACACTTCAAGTTGAGAACAACCACCAATCTCAGTAGGTATTGTGCCAGAAACATTATTGTGAGACAAAGAAAGAACAATTAAGGAACTAAGGAAGCCATAAGTTTGTGGAATGTCACCAAAAAACCCATTGGAGGTGAGATTAAGATACCGTAAACTAACTATGCTGCTGAAACCCTCAGGAACAGCACCACTCAAACGATTCTCCTCAAGTGCCAAAACTTGCAGGCTCGGCAATCCAAAAAGCTCAACGGGCAATTCCCCCGAAAGATTCTGCTTGCTCAAATCCAACACCCTTAGTCTCATCAAATTCCCCAATGTAGCAGGAACCTTTCCCGAAAACCCACAGTGACTCAAATTAAGAACCTCCAAAGCTTTCAAGTCCCCAAAATCAGACGTAACTTCACCCGAAAACCTGTTGTTGCTGAGATTCAAAGCACTCACGTTACCCAGTTGCATCATCTCCTTTGGCACAATCCCTGTTAGTTCATTCTCGCTCAAATTCAGAGTCTCCAACGCAGAAAGCGTTCCATAACTCGCCGGTATCGAACCGGTAAAACGGTTACCCCCAAGAGACAACTCTTTCAGGTTTCCCAGTTGCCCCAGAAACGAAGGAATAACACCAGAAAACCGGTTCCCCTGAAGATCAATAACCTGCAACAACCTACAATTCACAATGCTACCGGGAACACCACCGGATAACGAATTATTCGAAACTCTTAGTTCCTGTAACCTGAAAAGATTCCCTATATTCACCGGAAGAGTGCCGGAAAACAAGTTTCCAGAAAGATCGAGAACCCTCAACGACGTCGCATTGGTCAACCACGAGGGAAACGAGGCGTGAACAATGTGATTCTCTTTGAGGTCCAAAACCTCCAAAACACCAACGCATTCTTCACTTGGCGGCGTGGAAATGCTCGTGAACGCGTTAAACCCTAGCCGAACGTTTCGCACGTGTGCGTTGCAAAACAGAGACGTGGGGACCGAACCCGAAAGTTGATTCAGCGACAGCGACAATACTTGAAGCTTCGGCATTGTTCCCACGGAGGCCGGAATCAACCCGCTCAGAGCGTTATCCTCTGCGGTGAGGTGCACCAGAGAGGAACAGTTCGCGAGAGCCGATGGCAAGGTTCCGTGTAACCGGTTGGAGTCCAACCACAGATACTGAAGATGTTGCAGCGTTCCGATGCTCGCCGGAATTACGCCGGTGAAGCTATTGTAGGACAAGTTGACGAATCGGAGCTGAGAGTCGGAAGAAAAATTCGCCGGAATTTCGCCGGAGAATGCGTTGGACGACAAATCGAGAAACCGTAGGGATGTCGAGAGGTGGCCGGGGACATTGCCGAAGAGGAGGTTGCGAGCGACATTGAGGATTTGAAGGTTGGTGAGGTTGAGAAGCGCCGGCGGAAGCTCGCCGGAGAATGTGTTGTTGTGAAGGTAAACAACGCGGAGGAGCAAACACTGCGAGAGAGAGGAAGGGATGGAGGCGTTGAAGTTGTTGGAGTGGAGACTGAGTTTTCGGAGTTGGAAGAGATTGGAGAGTGAAGGAGCGAGTTGACCCGTGAGTTGAAGGCGAGGCAAGGTGAGTTGGTGGACTCGGTTATTGTAACAGACAATGCCGCGCCAGTCACAGGGTGCTAACGGCGTGGAAGGATCCCAACTGTCCAGGGAGCCAAGTGGGTCGTGAAGGTTCCGTTTGAAGGCCGTTAAGGCTTCGATCTCTAACAGACTCACGGTGCTGTTATGGCCACCCGTTAAGGTGGTGAAGAATGCGATTAGAATGAAGCTAAGGAATATAACCGTTGTTGCCATTCGGAAAAGAAAGAAGAAGAGAATAACGTTGTTGGTGTGTGTCTCTGTGACTGTGATGTGTGTGGGATTGGGTTTGTTTGTATGTGAAGATAATAGAGAGGAGCGTTTCTTAGCTATCTCTGTTCCCCACAATTCACAAAGGTTGTGTTGTCTTTGGGTTGTGGTTTTTTGTTCACTCACCCTATTCCCGAAGTGGTCTGAAAGCTTTTGTTTACCTTTTTAATTTATGTTATGTGGAAGTCTGGAAGAAAGGTTATTGTGCTTTTGGAATCTTTATGTGACTGATCTTGTGGTCCACGACCGATGTTACCCTGTTACTCTGTTTCGGGGTTAGCTCTTTCATTGGTCCTCTCTTTTTTCTGGGTAGTGAAAATTCTCATCACTAATATTTGTATGAAATCCAATCTGCAAGTATCCAAAGATTTTAATAAACAAATCTATGTATTTTACGAATAATTTTTAAAATTTTTGTCCAATCTTTTATTCATTTTTTTTTATTGAATGTCTAAAATTTTAATTTTAAAAACTTTATTTCATATTTATTAAAGTTTTGTTTAAGCTTTAAAAAAAATACCCATAATATTTTCTAGTAATTTTTTCTACATATTTATGAATTTAATTTTAATATACTATTAGTATAAAACTTTACACCACCAATCAATTATAATATAATGTGAATGTAATTTTTGTATTAATTACTATAAAAATAATAATTTTGAATTTAATTATTATCAATTTTAATGCATGAACTTAAAAAAACAATCAACCAAAAAAAGATGAATTTATACCTAAGTTGTAATGATTTGTGAAGATGCGATTTATACAAAAATATGCCTCTTCGTTTCTTCATTTGCCCTGGCATATCGTAACGTAAACCTCATTTATTATTAAATTTATCTAAATATGAACTAAATATGAAAATCTATTCTTATTTAATCACTTCATTGTCAAATTACAAGTTGGTTCTGGAGCATGGGGGAGCACAAAGAAAAACACGCATAATAGCATTTGGAAAGAACGTTAATCTAATTCAACATTAGAGGAATGTAATATTTAAATCTGTACTTTTCTTGTTTCATATCACTTTTATTTTCTTCTATATTTTCTTATTAGTGAATGTAAATGGAAAGGACAATTAATTAAGCGAGTTTGTTGGCCTGAAACTTCTTATCAAGTGTTTATGATTTTTTTTCTTTTCCAAAAAAAAGTATGATTTATATCGACCCATTTCAGGAAATGTAAGGTCAGATCTATTTTGAGTTGAAGTCTAAATTAGTAACATTGTTTTAAATGTCAGAGAAAAGTAAACTAGTGCGTTTTTAAAATGATACCAAAAATAAAATAAAAAATTACCTGTTACAGAAGAGGAGATGAATTTGCAACATTTTAAAATGTTTAATCAATAATAATATACTAAAATGTGAACAAAAGTTTGTAGTAGCATGACTCATTACAATACTTGTACTTATAATTTGATAATATTTTTTAAATGTCGCTAAATATCAGTCATGTTGTAGTGTGGTTTCCTTTCTTTTAATAATTATGATTGCATGCACATAATATTCAGGTCACAATATAATAATCTTATGCTTTCTTCAAAATATGAGATCCATTGAAGTATTTAGGACATGAGAAGGACCTGAAGAATCGCTGATCTTGGATTCTACTACTATTATGTGACACGCTTTTATAACGCTCTTGTTTGGGCCAGTGCAATGCATTAACGAAAAGAGGGGAGAGAAAATAAAAAACACATTTTTATCGAGAAAATTAAGGACAAGAATGAGAATCTATGTATTACATTATCCATTGTCGATTGATTTCAGGACAAATGATCAACTTCACTTTGTAAAAGACCAAATTAAATTCAGCTAATTAATCTAAAGCGTCAATTCTCAAAAAAGTACGAGAAAAATTATGAAGTGTACGTAGAGTAATTTATTCCTGGTATTCTATTTTTTTTTTATCATTTTTATATAGTATTTATCTAATAATGTTTTGTGAATATAAAATGGGAAGACAAAAAAGTTATTTTTTAATTTTAAATATATTTTTGAGATATAAAACAAAAAAACAAGAAAATTAATTATATATGATATTAATTTTGTTATTCAAATAGTATAACGAAAATAATTTTATGGAAAAAAAACAGCAAGTTTTTGACATAAGTTCGTGAGTCGACTTTAATAACCTCTCCTCCGAATAAGTAAAAAAAGTTATAAACGAATTCACGCAGAAAATTCAAGTACTATTTATAGCATAGCCATTATATTTCCATGGGCAAACGTATTTTTGCATTGAATAGTGTTGGACACATTATTATTGTTTACACTTTTTTACATCTTTTTGTAATATTTTGAGCTATTTGAACAGAAAAGAAGAAAAGAAAGAGACAGCAAAAAAAAAAATTATAATGGATGTAAAGGAAAATATAATTAAAATTAATGTGAAAAAATAAGACTTCTTTATATTTGGGAATTTAAAATAAAATTTTTAATTTTAAAAAATAATATTATCATATACTTAATTTTTTTTTTTTATCATATTACACTACTTATCATATTTATTTATTTTTTTTCAAAAATATCGATAAACTATTTTCCTTAGAATATAAACTGACGGCATTCGGCCTCATTCACACACAAATTAGTTCTATACTATTTTCATCTGACAAAACTTAAATTTAACACTATAATTTTTTAAATTAAAATATAATATATGCTAATTTTAGTACGTAAATTACAAAAAAATTATTTTAATTGAAAATAACACAATATTTATCTAATAAATTTTCTCCATTTCCATTGTATATAAATGGATGGTTAGGTCAGCTAGAATTGTAATCAATGTATACTTTTTATTCATGGATCAACGCATTTAAGTTGTGAACAAAACAAGTAGAGTTGTTAAATGAGTGGGTCATATGATTTGTGGCTTTTGTCGCATGCCAATGATAAAAGGGATTAGACGTTAATCTCGTATTTGGTTTTTTTTTACACATGTTTAAGTGAGACAAATTACTTTTAATTCTTATATGTATTATCACACTAGCTCTACAAAAATTAGTTATTTATTTCGAGGTTTAGTAAAAGTTTATTATATATTTATTTTCTAACCTCGTACAAATGCCGAATCCCAGTGTATAGGTCAAATAATATTTTAAGAATATCGGTAACAAAAGATTAAAAATATAATGAAATTAAATTAAAAATTACTGCGAACGTTTTTAGTGACATTTCTATAAAACTTTCATAATTTTGATTTATAAATCAATGTTTTAAATTTATGCATAGATTGAGTTTTTTTTTCTTTAAATATTCACAGCTTAAACTATTAATTACATGATTTTTTCATTATATTTTTTTAAATTATAAATTGATTTTACATTTTTATCTAATTAATTTTGAATTTCTTTATATATTAAATTAGAATATACTCTTTTGATTTGAGAGTAAAATACTATTTATCTATGGATACATTTTGTCATGTATTCTACCTGATTTAACAACGGATACTTCTTATGTATGTTAAATTTCCTTGAATAGATCTTTTCAATTTTTAATTAAAATTATAAATTCCTATACAATAGATAAAACGTTTCTATTTTATTAAATATGTGGGGAGAGAAGTATGAAAGAACTCAATATATGTAATTAAAATATAATTTTTGTCATTGATTATACATCCTTGAAATACATAAATTTGACATAAAAAAAAATTAAAAAATGAATTCTCTTAATGACATGTGATAAACAAATGAGATATGTTACATTACTGCAAAAACAGAAACGATGTATCACAGATTCATCAACTCATTTATTTACGTAAAGTATGGCTATTCTCAACTCATCCGGGGAATCGAGGGTTATCGGTCCAGCAAATACTTATAACGGTGGAACTGAGATATCATATGTCCAGATTTCTTCACACAAAATTTCTTTCTTTTGTTTCCTTTTTCTCTCCCTACTAATATTGGCTGGAGTCTCAACCGTGATATGCAACAAAAGGGGTTTTTGCCAGATGTCAAGGAAGTGACAAAAATAAACCTGCACCAAAAACTATTAGGTTGTTAAAAAAAGAAAGCACGTCAAAACAAATAATCAATCGTCTTATTCATGAAGAAAAGATGAAGATGAATTGAGGTGACAAGCATTTCCTTTTAATTAATCACTATCATCTTACAATTATTTTTAATGTACAACAAGAACCTATAAGTCAATAATGGGAGATGACCGCAATGCTAATTGAACCGACCTGAATTTAAAGTCAGTGTAAATGCGGAAATGCTCTCTTCTCTTCCTCAAGCTAGGCTCTATAATACAGTAGACATTGTGTCCTTCCAAGTGGAATCATTCTTGGTCTTACGACGGGTTAAGAAGCCAAATCCAAATGTTTTCTTTGTGGCCTCACCCGAGTTTATAAAACCAACAAGCTTTGCAACAAGTGCTGCACTTTCCCTTACGTGGGTCAGATCTTTTGTGTTCGTCCATACGAGCCATGCCAATTGTACACTTCTGTGCTTAGACTTCAAATCAATACCCCACTTCTGGTAAAGTTCCTCTCTTTCCTTCCTCGAAAACTTCTTATGCACGTGCTTACTTAGCATTTTCCTCTCACGATTAAGTGACGTCAGGCTGTCCAGTGAAAAGGCGGGAAAAAATGTGTGAAAATACTGGATATGACAAAAAGAATAGCAAAATTTGCATTCCTATTTATCTGCCTTTAAGTGTTTGATATAAAAATTTTCGCAATCCTTATTTCTCAAGAGATGATCAATTGATCACATGCTTCGCATCTTGTCTTTTTCCTGTTGCACTTGCGAGCATGAGCGTGCCAATATGGGGTTTTATTTTAGTCTGCAAGAAAATTCTGTTTTATTTATTTTTCTAATCTTCTTTCAATGTGGTATATTTGTTTGTGATATTTTCATCAAGGTATGTTTTTAATTATTTAGACATTCCAGCAAAACAATTATTCAGTTCCAAATGAGAAAACTACGGGGCACAAATGTCTTGCATAATTAAATAGCAAAAATATGACACATGCAGGGGATTGGCTTGTCACAGGGCAAATCAATCATTGTGATGATCATGTAGGCAAATTTAAATGTGAATTGCATGTTGAAACTCTACTCGTGAAACAAGATTTTACCTTGAATTAGGGGTGACATCCCGACCATCACCCGTAATGCTAGTTCCACCAAAAAAGGTGTCCTTAAGGAAAGACAAACGTCTGAGCTCTACATCCAAGTACACAGAATCCGAAAGTTCACCTTTGATGAGAAGAAAAAAATAGGTTCTATGCACCAGCGGCACATTACATGCATCCCAAAGTTGGATTATATCTCTCTGCTGCCTCTCAAAATCATAAGGCACCAAAGCCCCCGGAACTCCATGGAAACTGATACCTTTTATTTGGTTCACACGTTTACTGATCCCTGATTTCCTTGCTCGTACCTATCATTCATTACAAAAACACACACTCAGGTAAAGGCTTCATGGTGACGGAGCAACTTAGATGTTTTAACCAAATAAATAAATAAAATATAAGCAGAACTAGTTCGTGCGTGGTAACAAAATTACATTTTATAAATATTTTTTTTTTTTTGTACAGAATTGATAGATAATATTTGGAGCTCAAGTATGCTAAATATCAGTTCCTCTATTTATTCTGACGTAAAAACCAATTCTGCAGCTCATACTCTTGTCAAACAGCATGAAGGAAGCAAATGGGACAATTTAGATATAGATATATGCTCAGAACCTACAGTTTTCCACACATTATACATATCATATTTAAGAAATAGGATAATGATACTCTTGTAGCTGATAAATAAATAAAATTAAATAGATTTATGAATGAGGAATAGCGCAAGAAAGATAGACAGCATTAAAAATGTGTGTTACTATGTGTATCTGAACTTACCATAATATCATCCAAGTCGCAGTTCAATGGCTTTATCTTAGCCTTTTGGTTCATTGCCACAACAAAATTGAGAACGCTAGCAGTATCCTCCGCATCAGAGTCCCAAGCGGATTCTACGTCTTCAACTGAAGCATTCATATCGTGAACTGCAGAATATTTTCTGGAGGACTTTCTTTTTGTAGCATGTAACTTAGATTCAGGTTGGTTGTCCTGAAAGCAAGCCAAACTAGTGGCATTTTCCCTATCGACCTCATCTGGTAAAGTGACCGATACCTGTTCCTGCTCATCAAGTTTAGGAGGCAAAGTAGTCTTAAGCTCTTGCTCATCGAACTGAGGAGGTGATGCAGGTTCCTGGTTCAGCTTATTAAACCGAGAAGGCGATGCATTCTGCTCCAACTTGCTGACCTGAGGATGTGCTGAATTTTCCTGATCCACCTCATCTGTTTGAGGAAGAGACATGGGAGCCAAAATGTGTGGCTCGGATTCAGAAGACCCACTGGATTTCTCTGAGAGGTTATCTTGGCTATCATTTTCGGCAACATGAATCGACTCACAATGTCCATTCTGCCCATTCCCTGAGGATGATCTAGCATCTACGTTCACAACTTTTATCATGGGTGAATTTTCCCCGGAGAATGATTTAGCATCTACATCCACAACTTGTGTCGTAGGTAAATTTCCCCCCAAGGATGATTCAGCATCGATGTCCATCGTGGGTGATACTCCTCCATTTTCTTCAAAAACAGGAATAGGGGTATTAAGATCTGTTTGTCGGTCTTTTTCCACTTCTTTTATTTCAATACATGGAACTTCCCTGCAGTTATCTTCATATTCGTCGCTGCTAACTTCCTTGCAGATATCCTCAGATTCAGCTTTGCTAACTTCCTCGCAGTTATCTTGAGATTCAGCTTTGCTAACTTCCTCGCAGTTATCTTGAGATTCAGCTCTGCTCGCCATCTCCTCCCAACCTTGACATGGATCAGGCCCACCAAACGTGGGAGAACTTCCATCCAAGAGAAAGTAGTCTTCAGAATTCTCAGTTTGCTGTAAAAGGTGCTCATGTGAAATAGACAAATTAGTCGTTGTGTCAAGATTCTCAGATATGCTATTCATCCTGGGAAGATTTTTGGCAACACGTGACGATTCTGAGGCTGAATCTTTATCTACTCTTGAAACCCTATCTTTCCCAGCAGAATGACGAAAATTTTCAACATGAGATTGAAATTGATCACGTTGCCGAGTCAATTCTTTGATCTCTTTATCCATCTGCAAGTTTCCGAATTAGCAGAGAAAAAAAATTATCAGAATAAAATGCTCTACCAAATTCCTTTCTATATTTTCTTTTTTGTAAACATGTTATCAGTGGATGTTCAATATCTTTTGGCAACAAATGAAAGAAATGATTGGTATTTAATCTCATCAAAATTTACAGACCACGAATCCCATCCATGTTTCACTCCCACCCACTAGAGAATAGAATTATTTTGATGCGCTATCCCGAAGTCTGCTTTACATAAATTAACCAGGTACATTTGATTTGAATTCCAAGTCAAAAACTAGGTAAGGAACTGACGATTAATAGGAATTCTAATCTACTGCCCTCCTTGAGTCCTTATTACGTTGATCTCAATTCAAACTCTTCGAATTATAGAAGGTAATTTAAATTTTAGGATAAATTACATTAACATCTCATGAGAGCTTTGTTATCTGATTAATTGAGAATGTTCCCAGTGTACCAAAATAAAATTTAGTGAAATTACACCTGAAATTTTATTTTATTTCATCCTATACAAACCTTTAATTTATAGTAATACAACATCCTCTACCTTTCCATTATCACGTATCTTCCCCAATTTCTTGTATTATATATGAGGAAAGTCAGTGCAATGTCAAAGAAAGAAGGAAATATTGAGTGTAATATAATTAAGCTATGGGAATGTGAGTGTAAATCTATCATAAATATTATAATTTCTTGGCATTATTAGAAAACAAGGATATGATCATTCATAAGGAAATTTTAAACAAGGCAAATCAATTACATAAAATGCAAATGACCGTGTAATATTTTAGCAGCAAAATCAACCTTATCTGGGGATGGAATTATCCTGATAGTTCATAGCTGAATGAAATTGTATACCATGATGCATTCAGGCGGATCTTGTTCACTTCAAGCAAAGCTAGTGAATTATCTTTAACCTAGTTCAGCAATGTATACCATTTTAAAGTGAACAAAAAATGTAAATATTGTTCAACAACTTACCATGAAAGTAAAAGTTGATGCAAATATTATTGTAAAATCCCCTCACCCCCAAAAAAAGAAAAGAAAAACCAATTTATTGAATCTACCCTCACCTGCTCAATTTGAAGTTCTCTCTCCTTAAGTAAGACGGTATTTGGGGTGAACTTCCTCAACTCATTCTCCAATCTAGCCAATTCCCTTTGCAGTTGCTTTACCAAAACTTTGTCTGACATCACTAGATTGATCCGAGCATTAGTAGCCACCTGTTTTGCGCAACCGGCAAAAAGCAGAGTATTTCTTGATTGCTCAATCTGGCTCCGCGCAGGACTAATGGTACAAATTATCGCTGTTCTGGCATTACCTCCTAAAGAGTTATGCAGAATGCGAGTAAGCTTAGAGTCTCTGTAAGGTATGTGTTCATTTCTTCCCTTGCTGCATTCAAGAATTGTGATTAGAATTTATATTATTTATGTAACTGATAAAGTCACTAGGTGAAGAAGAAATAGGACCTGCACGGTCCGTGCTTAGATTAAATTTCCCAAAAACATCTATTTAAAAATGCTAGTTCTAATTTCTTATATTTATACACATGTAAATAGGACTTGCATGACTTTCAAACAAACTCGGAATCCGGATCTTCAAATGTACAACATTATTGACCACTCTCAAATTTTATGGGTGTTCAAGTGACCTGTTGGGCAAAGTCCTATACTTCTTTAGTCTGAAATTCTTAGTATCTAGAAGTTGTGTGTTCCGATGGATCCGAGTTGAGTTGGGTGGATTTATTAAAAAGGATGAAGTTCTTCTGGTACCTGTTTTTTCTATTTACAAGATTTTAAATTAAAGTTTATTTAAGAGAACTAATTTTTTTTATCATTTAAACCGTCTTGACCCGATAATTTTATTGAACTAAGTTTGCCCCTATAAAGAAAAAGTCAATTCTGTAGTGCCTCAAAATTATAAATCTGGGATACTTTAGTCTTCTGTCTGTTTAAATTAATATTTTTAGGAATCAATTTGAGTTACCAATAATTTAGTTAGTGACTAAGTTTGCATATGATTCAACGTTAATAGAAGAAAATAAGTTGAATGGCTAAATTGCCTCATGTTCGTAATCTCAAAAATTTATTTGATTACTTTTTGTTTTGGACTAAATTGGGTCAAATAATTTTTTTAGAGGCTGAATTAAAAAATAATAAATGTTTTAGAATATCTTTTTAAAATACATTATTAATATAAATATATTAACATTTTATAAATATATGAATATAAATATAATAAATAAGGTCAAATATGTTTGTAATCTCAATAAATTTATTTTAGTTCTCATAAATTTTAAAATTTTAAAAGTGATTCCTTCATCATGTAACTTCAAAATAGTTATATGATTAAAAACATGGCACATTATTAACGTTAAAACTAATTATTTTAAAAACTTTTTAAAATTTTTGTAAGGATTAAAAACAATAAAATATTTTTTAGAAAATTAGAATTAAACTTTAAGACTAAAAGTATGCTTTAAGCCTTTTAAAATATTTAGGTGGCGTGGGTTGATTGAAAAAAATCCTTAGGTATAGTCAATACCTAACCCAAAATCCATCGAAGTTTAATATCTAGAACCCAAATTCGTTTCAATTAGTCTCGAACAGCCCTAGTGAGTTTGATATTAGGATTCTTTTATTCGGAGATTGCAACCAGCATGGGTGTCTAGCGTATAAGCAAGTTAGTTCTCGAGGTTTTAATCTTCTCCTTGACCCGAATTTACCCGTGGTCATCGTTTGGTCCGAGAAGAAACTAGTGAGTTGTAATATCCTAGCTAGGAAACATTAATGTTCCACAAAAAAGATAATATCAACAACATATAAGAATTCTGACTCTTCAGATTTCGTAGTCTACCAAAACTACTACAACACCTACCCATAGACAGAACATTTAAACAGCAGTTCAATAATTTGCCATTGCAGGCCGAGCAAACTTAAAAGAACATTGGAAGCAACTACATGCAATATTTAACTTTTAGACCGTGGGAGGAAATTCTACCTTAGTTTCCGAATTACAGTTCCTAGGGTCAGTAAACTGCGATTTATGTGGCTTCCTTCTCTCAATCTTGTGCCAGCTGACAAAGCCTGAGAAGCGCGCTCACTTCCAGCTAGATCAACAAAATTCTGCTCAAAGAAACAAATTGTTGATTTCATCTACGTGACAATTATAAACACAGAGAGAGACACTCCAGTATAGGATAAAAAGCGATGAAGATCATACCACATTGGCGGTGAGCGTGCCAGATCTTGCGGTTGCAGCAAAATTACTAGGATTACTTTCAACTGTCTACAGGAATTATCATTTAGGGATATTTTAGGGATAAATTTAGAATTTTATCTCAATTTCTCAGCAACTTAATGATAAAGTAAATACCAATCGAAGAATTTGGTGAGATCTGGAGCTAGTTTCATTCATGGCTGTCTCTTCCGTTGTCCTTTCAGCTGCAAGATATGTGCAGATATGGCTTGAAATAGAGCACAGGAAAGCATCAAAAGTAGCAGAAGAGTAAAATTAATTAGAGCCCAATACCTGCACATATTGAAAGGAGTTGCTGCAACTGGCTCCTCTCTCTCAGAGTCTCCTCCGTAAGTTTCTCCACAAAAGTCCCTTTCTGTTGGAGGTGCACAGATTCTCAATCATTCAGAAGAACTAAGCCAGAAACTCTTCAACAGAGCAAGGAAAATATGTTACTAAATTTACCTCTGGATCATCTAGGAGTCTTAGTGAGGTACCACCTGCATTGAGAAGGTCCCTGACAGCTTCATTGTAAATCTCCATGGCAGAGAACTTCACAACAAATTCTCTGTCTTTACGCTGAGACACAACAAGAACATCATCTATTTAGCAACAATGAAAAAGCATCATCTATTTCACTGTAAGATGAACCATCATTTGAATCGTTTTATACCTTCTCTATGTATTGATATATATCCCTTACAGCATATTCAGTAATTCCAGTCATGGTATACGTCTTTCCACTGCTTGTTTGCCCGTATGCAAAAATGCTAGCTGAGATTATATATCATCAATGAGAAACCCTTAAAAAAAAAAAGCCACCAGCCAATACAGCAATATATATAATCAGGAATTATCAAACAGGTAAAAGATTTCAACACTCACAGTTGATTCCATTAACTACTGAAAGGGCAACTTCCTTAATCCCTTGTTCATAAACCTGCTTTGTGTTGCACCTATCCCCGAATACCCTGTCTGTTTCCAATGAACCATTCAACAAAATAGGAAAAAGGGATTCAAAAAGAAATGCCAGAAAAGCTGTCTGAATAATGAATGGCATTCAAGGATTCAAAATCTCCATAAAATACGACCTTCACAATGTAGAGAAAACAAATAACCGTTGTGATATTGGTATAATAGATTATAAACAAGGCATTGCATCTTTCTCACCAAACGTGTAGGAATCCGTAGACAATGCTCGCTGTTCTGCATGGCCGTTGCCCTTGAATCTGAGAGTGTGACCAGAAACGCATTCCCAATCGGACACATCGTGCCTCGCTCTTTCTCTCTCATTCAAAGGCCTTACTCTGATCGAAACGAATATTCTCTCTTCCTGAGTCATATTACCCTGCTCCTCTCTGTCTCCCGCCACGGACCCTGTATCTCTCATCTTCATTGACTGCATCAATCACTCTTAGAACACCGAAACGACACTCAATAAATTTGCCTTGCATTCACATTTGCAATTGTCGCAACACATTCCCTTTTTTACTGCTGCATTACTCATTTTCTTTCAAAACTTCTCCCGTATCAATATAGCGCGCTAAAATCAGAGTCTCAGCCCCTACGAAAACAATGAAAAAAAAAAACTAAGAAGCAAAGCAATGACGTTTTTCGTGCGTAAAGAAACGTGTTTAATTAATGCGAAAATTTGGATTTGGATTATGGAATTGACGGGGAAAATAGAGAATCGTGTGGGTGATACCGTTCTCTCTGTCTCTGGCGCCGGTAAATGACCGGAGAAAGAGACAACGGAGTGGGGAATAGGATGCAGCAGAATATGTTATTGTGTATAGGCTTTGAGGTGGCAAAGCCCTTGTTGTTCCATTCCTCGCGTCTGGATTCCGCACCCACCGCGAAACATAAAACCGTTTCGCCCGCTAAAATTCTTAACTTCATTTACTATTTTGACCCTCAATCTCATCCATATCCACGTTTTCACCCTTCTTTTCCCTCCCTCGACCACCTATGCCACGTTTTTCTCCCTCGCCAAATAATAATCCATTTTCCTTTTTATTTTAGACATTCAATGTCTATAATTTTTTGTACTGATTCATGTGAGTTGACTGAACTGCATTCATTTAATATGATTTTTTTTTTGCTAATAATATGATTTTTTTAAAATGCTTACAAGTTTCCTAGAGTATAGATAAAATAATTTAAATTGTTCTTTTATTAAAAAATATAATAACACAATTACTCTCAAATATATTTTTAATAAAAAAAATTGTTTTTTATTCTTTAAGTAATATTTTTAAGACATCAATTAATAAGACTGAAATTTTTTTAATACTTATTTTTACATATATGTACAAAACTTGAATATATGATGAAAAATAAGTTCTTTACTTTAATTAATAAACATCGATAAGATCCATTTAACTTGTTAAAAAAAAAGGATTGGAGAACACAAAAATGTAATTATTATTTTTATTATTATCGTGGTTACCATTGTAATAGTTATTTTCATATCAGGTGTTACTTTTATAATTGTCATTGACTACAATCATTGTATATCACAAAAGGATGCTCTAAATCAAACCCTTTATAATAACATTACTTCTACCGTATATTGACATTCAATCATCGATTACGTTAAGTGTGTATTTTCTCAACGTGGACCAAACAAACTTTCTTATTTAGTTAAAAAATATTTACTGAAGAAAAGAGAAGAAATGAAACATCCTCCAAATTTTATTATTTTATCTCTCTTCTAGTATTGAAATTTTTAAAATAAATATAATATTTAAATTGTAAAAACTTAATTCCTTAAATTTTATTTTTCATCTTCTTTTTTAGTATTTATAACGGTATAATAGAATGTTATTACTTACTCTTTTTCGCGAGTCAAATAAAGAAATATTTCTCTCGATGTTTGTTTCCTTTTTAACTAAACCAATTATTTTTTTTCCCTTTTCCTTTTCTTTATTAAAATTATTTCATTCTTTTGAACCAGATAGCGTTGGGCCGTAACGGCTGTTTTCACAATTTCTGTGTCGGTCTTTCGCGTCGTTGTCAAAGCGTTCAACTTCCTCGTATATATTATTTGGTATCAATATCTGAATTTAGGGACAGCGATCGAACACCAAAAGCAAACTTTGTCTGACAGACACGTGGCTGACACATCACCCAATTTCTCCCAGCTTGGTAATGTTATCGAACCGGTGAAAGGAGTGATGGCTTCACCAACTTAATTAACACTTTCCAAACCTTGTTAATTATTTTTAAAAAATATTGATTATAATTTAAAATAATATATTATTAACATTTTTTAAAGAATAAGCAAAAATTTACTTTAAAATAATAGATATTTCATAAATTGAATTGATTTTTACGTACTGATATATTTTTTAACATATAAATAAAATATTAATTATTAGCTCATATTTGTTTTTTCAAATTATATATATATATATATTACACATATATTCAATTGTCAAATAATTTTGCATAATTCAATAATTAAAAGAATAAAAATCATTATTAAATAAAATAAATTTATAAGACTTATATTTGAAGACAAGTAAAATTTCTTCCTAATATTTGAGTATATCGAGTTATGTACGTCGTTTTTAAATATTAATGGGATTACTAATGGCTAAGAATTGCATCTCCACAATGTGGTATAGTATTAACTCGAGACCGATATATTATTCTCACCTACCCTATCTACCAAGCCACAATTAGATTTATTTATTAGGATAATCCCACTTCCAGTTTTAACATGCTTAGTTAATTAAGCACGACGTGGTAAGTTGATGCCAACAAGGTGAAAACGCTCTCCATTTGATGTTTTCACCTATGTCTGCTATGCAGGACATGCAATGAACACGATATGCATTCAGTCGGCGTGAGCAAAAGGAAAAAAAAAAAAGCCCACTCAAAATTTCATTAATTGTATCCAATTGTATAGTAGAAGTTAATAACATTATTTGGTATGAAAACTTTTATTTCAAATTGGTACAAACATATATCTCATAACCAAATATTATTAGAAAGAAAAAAGTAACATTTTGGAAAATCAATAATGTAAATTATAATATGCTACAAACTTTTATTTTTCATATAAAAATAGGTTTTACGAAAATATATTCATACACCCTTTATCATTTTTATTATTTAAGGTTATATAATAATACCTTAATACTATGTATAGGACTTTCTGAGAGTCACGCAAAAGCTACTTACCTATTAAATGACTCGGATTACGTGAGATGAATTGTCAATTAAACCAAACTTATGACCTCAACAATGTTGAAGCTAAGTAAGATTGCAGTGGTTGTGATTGTGATGATGGCAATATATGCAATATTTACACCGTCAACATCGGTACCATCCTCAACACTGGCGCAGTTTACCGTTCGGCCGAGGAAGGATAACATGAACCAAGGTGACAAAATTTATCTTGCAAGTGATTATGGTTATTGGGACCCTCCTCCTAGTCATTGGGGAGGAGGTGAGACTGATCCCGTTCCTATTATCTAGAAGAAAATTCACCATGAGTCATCAACTTTTTAATTTTCTGACCACCATTATATTTCTTGATATTGTTTTTGTTTTCTCAAAATGATACTGCTGTACTTACATTATTCAAAGTAAATTGTTATTATACCGTTGTTCTTGCATAATTTAAAGCAAAATGTTAATATACAAATAGCGCATCGTACATTACCTAGATCTAAAGAAAAGTAATTAATGACAAAATAAAATAAAAACACATTCCTTCTATTACCGAAAATCACTTTCTTGCGCTGAACAATTTTTATTGATCAAATTTCTTATCAGTGAATGCCTTAATTGAGTTAATTGATGGTGGAAACCTCCTCAATCTTGTTGCCGACTCAAAGATGCCAGCGAATTCGAATACTCTATTTGCTTTCACACTAACTGAAATGGACTTTGGATTCACGTCAATTCTAGTTTGCTTTGGCATGTTATTAGGAATTTAATTCACAAGAATGTATAATATATTTCCTTGCAAATATTTTAATTGACAACACAGTAGCATTAGTACCATGGAATATGTCACATCAAATTAAAATGAACGGCACAAGCACAACAAATGTGGTGATATCAATGGGTGCAAGTGTGGAACCAACTTTATGCTAAAAATTATTTATAAAATAAAATAATTATTAAAACTTGCATCGAATTGAAAAAATTAAATAAGTAATAAATAAATAGAAAGAGGGTCCTACTCGTGGTGATCGCGTGCTCTAGTTGCGGCGAGCAACATGGTTTCCCGCTAGCGCGAGAAGAAATAGCAGTTTCGTTTCATTCATTCGTCAACGTAGGAGCGAATTGGAAGTTTGAAAAAGTAAATGCAGTAGTGAGTTTTAACTTTTGATCCCGTCGCCAGGGAAATAAGAAACCGTTGGTTTTCTTTTTCGTGGGAGATTCCTATTATTGCATTAAAATTTGATTTCAATTAATGCCTCAGTTGTTTTTGCTTTGACTTGAGTGATGGAGGAAGCTTCCTCGATTTTGTTGCCTCCTCAAAGATACGCAGAGGCTGCTCTGTTTGCTATCGCACTTCATCAGTCTCAGATTCATCAAGGTCTAACTTCGGCTATTCCTCCCGATGCCGAGAACGCTTCTGGTTCGGATAATCCCGAACTTTGGATTCACGAGAATTCTGGTTTGCTTTTTCCTGTTTTTAGGTATTCAATTTAATTCCACAGAATTAATGCTGCAAGGTCCTTGATTCTGTGTTGTGACGACGAACATAATAATCATAATAATAATAACGTTATACGTGATTGAAGTTAGAAGTTATATATGATAAGTTTTTATTAAAAATTGTAGTGTTTAATATTATAAAATTTAATAAAAATTTATGTATACAACTTGATTGATATTGTGTAATATTACTCTGGTTAAAAAAATTGTAATAATAATAATTTATCTGTTGATAAAAATTGACAGGTTCATTGAAGTGGATGAACAATCCTGGCGTGGCCTAAAGGAAACTGCAAGTTCGTCTTGTCAATTCAGGGGTCACATTGGATCTGTACGTTTTTAAATTTTCTATATTGCAGATAAAATTTGATTCATGGCTTATATATATATATATATTATTTCTTGTAAAAATAGTGTTAAAAGAATAGTTATTATTTTCCAGTTCTTGAAATTACTGTTAGAGGACGGCGAGGCAACTTCTTCAGAAAGATTAAATAAAGAAGTTTCATTGACCAAAGCTGTTGATGCCTCGACTTTGAGCATGAATGATAGGGCTGAATCTCGTGATGAAACTAAGGAGAGCTCAGCTTTTCTCCCTTTAAAGAAACAAGCTATCACTGCACTAAAAATTTCAAGTTTTGAACAACCTTTGGAGGAGGCAACCCTGGTCAGTTACCAGAGGAAAGTGACAGTTCTTTACACACTTCTTGCGGCTTGTGTAGCAGATATTGCTGAGGCTGACAAGAAGTGCTCTCAGTCAAGGCAAGGCTATGATGCTCGACACCGTGTGACTCTGCGGTTACTAGCTGTATGGCTTGATGTCAAGTGGAATGAAATGGTCTGTGCTTGGAACACGTGCATGCATTTCAAACACCATATGGTATTATGTATTATGTTTGTGATGTGTGAACCTCCATAGAGGAAAGTTTTCTCTCCTTAATGATGTGGTGCGGATACCAGTATGTCCCTATGGTTTGGTGGTTTAAACAAAAGTGATATTTGGGCAGCCCTTTTTTGCTAGAAGTTATCTTCATCATGATATTTTGCAGGAAGCGATGGAGGCTATGGTTGCTTTTTCTTTAATGGAGTCAGCGAGTAAAGACGGCACCAAGGAAGAAGAATCCGTAGTTTCAGAAACCAACTGGGATAAATGGAAGCGCGGAGGTATCATAGGAGCAGCCGCTGTAACTGGAGGAACTTTAATGGCTATTACTGGTGGTATATATCTGCAACTGCATGTCTAACTTACAAGTATATTTTTCTAACCCAAGGGTGAGATAATATTAAGAGTGGAAATGCTTTAACAGGTTTGGCTGCGCCGGCAATTGCTCATGGATTGAGTGCTTTGGCTCCAACACTAGGCAGTATTATTCCTGCAATTGGAGCTGGTGGATTTGCCGCGGCAGCAACTGCTACAGGATCTGTTGCTGGATCTGTAGCTGTTGCTGCATCATTTGGAGGTATGAAGAATCCATTTTGGTTTATACATGTTGTGAAAGCAGTCACCATCAATAGAACAACTAAAAATAGATATACAGCCATATCTGCTTCTAGCTTGTCTTTATGGATTTTCTATTGTGTCACACACACATGTTTATGTATGTATAAAATTTGTGGCGAGAGGAAATTAGAGAGTTTTTCATTGTATGCGTTAATGCTCAGTGACTTGCTTCTTTTGTACATCAGCTGCTGGAGCTGGCCTTACTGGATGTAAGATGGCTACGAGAATTGGAAGTCTTGAGGAATTTGAGTTGAAAGAAGTTGGGGGCATTCATCAAGGCGTAAGTTCCAAAATGTCTTTATATTCTATAGATTTATGCGGACTATTAGGAGCTTCAGGGATTTGGGTGGAGCTAGGGCTCTTGGTAGGTTCACTAGACACACTGTGCATGACTTGAAAAGGAGCACAGCAGGATCTTAGACTTAATTCTGACCTACGCTAATATGATTGTTGAAATTTGAAGCAAAACCTCGCTTTTCAATTTTCAGCACCTAGCAGTTAGAATCTCCATTTCTGGGCTTGCATTTGAGGAGAAAGATTTTGTAAGACCTTGGGAAGGTCTCAATGATAACATGGAGAGGTATGGAAAATTATCCCTTCCGACTAGAAATTTGTTACTGCATAGTATAATGTGTCAAAATGCAGTTTTATCTTTCCAATCCTCTTGGTGGCATTGGTTTTCTTCACATACACTTAATACAGTTTTTATGAGCAAAGTCAAGCAGAGGTCAAGCTAATAATTTCTTACACGCTGTTGGTTAATTTTGTCAACCTGTTTTTTCCTTTAGTTTTTATTTTAGTAAGATTTTATTTTCTATCTTTCATTGGTTATGTTCAGGAATCCACATGTCCTAATATGGAAGATTATGTACATGCTGACAAGTCTTAAAGCATATGGTGTCTCTCTATAGCAAATAATTTTTTTCTAATGAATTATTAATTTTACTAAATGTTAAATCTGAGGGATTCAAACCTAGTCTGCTTTCAGTTGAAAGTTGCATTCTCAGTATTTCCGTTCATCCTAACAACTTCTGTGTATAGGTATGTGCTTCAATATGAGTCAAAAAATTTGATCGCACTGAGCACTGCCATCCAGGACTGGCTTACTTCAAGTAGTTTCTTTGAACCATGTGTCTGAGTAATGATCAAATCAATTTGGCATATTCAAACTGAAAATATTTGATGGTTAATATTGTAGAAATTGTTGTTGAGTTAATGAAAGAAGGTGCCATGCGGACAGTATTAAGCACACTTGTGGCAGCACTAGCATGGCCAGCAACTTTGGTGTCAACATTTGATATTATAGACAACAAATGGGCAATTGCAGTAGACAGGTAAGCTCTTTTCTTGGTTGTATGTAAAAACGCTATCACCAAAATTTCTTTTAAAAACAAGATGGGTTACTCAGAATTTCTGGTTCTGGTGTCTAGCAGTACTCATGATCTGTAGGATTTATTGTTATGAACTTAATAAACGAGTCTATCCACTGGTGTTCTCCGATCCGTTTCATCTCTTTTGATCAAGCCATTCTGATCGATTAGCTTAAACGCCTATAATGTTAGCAACGATTCCATTGTTAAACTTTAGGATAAATGAATTCTGAATTTAAATTTGTTGACTGGAATTCTTCCTTGTGGACATCAAAGTTTTAGTTGTCTTTAGGTTACATCAAAGTTTTAGTTGTCTTTAGGTTGACAAATTTGTCATGATCGTGGAAAGTGTGAACAATTTCTGTTGAATATTTGTTTCTGTAGGGGACAGTAAGAGGTACTAAGTATCCTGTTGCGATTTGCGAGTGACTATTATAACTACTTAATATTTTAGCATTATATTTAGTCTAGCTGTCCTCTTTGTTGGAGCAGATCAGACAAGGCTGGTAAAGTGCTTGCTGAAGTGTTGCTGAAAGGCTTGCACGGAAACAGGTGACAACAATCTAATGTTATTGCGAAAGATTGACGATAATTTTGCCTCATTGTATAATCCAATATATTTCGTAGCTTTCTATTTATGGTCCAGGCCTGTGACACTAGTAGGTTTTTCATTGGGAGCCCGTGTTATTTTCAAGTGTCTCCAATGTTTGGCTGAATCCGGAGGAGACAATGGTAAGTCTGGAACCATCGCCTCTTGGTTTTCATGTATATTGGAAATATAGATTGTTTGCATTATAGATTCTTCATATTGTGCTGTCTTCTACAGCTGGACTAGTGGAAAGGGTTGTTTTCCTCGGAGCACCCATCCCAATTGGAGACGAAAATTGGGAGGCAGCTAGAAAGGTACCTAGAACATCTCTCTTTATTTTTTTAAATAAATTTCCATCCACTAAGCCTGTGTTTATGTCGGATTATTTTTATTGTGATTTTTTTTAAAAAAAAATACTAGTTATTCTCTTGGTAAATTTTAAAAATAGCTTATGATCTTTGATTAACTTTTTACAAAGGAAGCAGCTTATTTAAGATGAGTAAAATTTTGAAACTTCCAAGTAAAAATTATTAACTTTTTTTAATTAACTTTAATATTTTTATTTTATAATTAATAAGTACAAAATTAATTATTACACACACACTATACAATCTAAATAAATAAATTATTTTTATCTAAAATAGTTAAATATAAACCTTATTTTAAATAATTAATTCTTATAACTAATATAGACACAATTTTTTCTTAAGTATTTAATGATCGTGCCACTGTGCAGATGGTGGCTGGAAGGTTTGTGAACGCTTACTCAACAACTGACTGGACATTAGGTGTAACTTTCCGTGCCAGGTATGCAAAATAATAACTATATGATACATGGACGTGCCTTTCTAGGCAGCGTTTGTTTACGAATTTAAATTTTAATAAACTTAATTTTATATAATTAATTTTATTTAAATGTAATTTTAAAATGATATAATTTATGTTTTAAAAATATGCAAATAGAAAATTTTATTATAAATTATTCGATTTAATGAAAAAGTTATAATTTATTATGTTATCTCAAATATAAATTTAAAGAAAATATTAATTATATTAAGGAGTAACCAAGTATGATTTTTTTAATATAATTATCTTATAATTAACTAGATGATATTATGTGAATATTTAACTAAATCTTATTACTCTCCCAACTCATAACAAAGACGACGCTGTATTTGTCACTAAAAGTAACAAGTTCTTGTGATGTGGCAGTAAGTGTTACCAAATAACTAATTTCAATTTTGGATTATCCTGGTAAGAAAACCACTTTTTGTTTCATCAAAACTGTGAAACCATGGATAGTGTAGTATAACAGTAACGATTTTACATCCATTTTTCACTTGCTGCGAAGCAAATTCATAAGGGAGCATAAGCTAGCTCGTAAATATAATTTGAAATATTTTCTCATGAACAGTTTACTTTCTCATGGATTAGCCGGAATCCAACCTGTTGATCTTCCAGGGATTGAGAATGTAAGCTCTTTTCCATCCTATGCTTAATTGATCGACTGTTTCTTTAGCGATGATGTATTGCTCGAAGATCCCATCTTCTTTTGTTGCTTTGCAGGTTGACGTGACACAAGTCATAGAAGGCCACTCTTCCTACCTGTGGCTAACACCCAAATTACTGGAGCAGCTTCAATTGGACAACTGTTGTGCTGTTTTCAGAAGAGAACCTGAAAACCCACAAGAAGAGAAGAGCACCGTGAGCTAACTTCATTTTGTTTCCTTTTTACTCTTTATTCTCCCACTCTTATCTCCCATATCTTAATTAGCTTTTCTAAGAGACTACTATCAAGCTTATCATGCTATATTTTATTTTTTTCTGAGTGCTGTACATGTGATTTCAACAACACATCTTGTACAACAGGAGGGTGATCAGAAGAAAAGAGAAAGAAAATGTGGAATAAGATGAATAATATGATAGAGAAAGAGAGGTAAAATGAGTTGTGGAAATATGTGACAATTTTTTCTAGAGGAAATAGCATTCCTCATTTTTCTCTAGACAGTCCATTGATTTTGTCATATTCTATCTTGAAAAAAGGCTAAACTATATTTTGGTATTTCTCTTTGAGATTATGTACAATTTTATTCTCGTATTTTTTTTTTAATTAAGTCCCTCGAATTTTAAAATTGAGTAAATTTGATCCATCTATCAATTTTGTCTACTTTAAACCCTGGTGCCTCCACATTTAAGGCTAAAGATCCCCGATTTTCTTATTTAAAGCAAGGTAGGGGCAAATGTTTATAATATTCTTTTTGAAGTTTAGATTTAGCAACATATATCTATGTTGAATTTGTATCAATTGTTTGTCGGCCCGCTGTGCCTGCTGATGATAATATTAGCAAGATTACTTGTTTGCACAAATCACCAAAATTTCACATTGGATATCAGAACTGACTGATATATAATACCCGAATACTAAGGGCGGTTAAAAAGTGCTTATAAAATATACTTCAGATTTTTTTTTCCTGGGTTAATTTATGCACTGTAGCTTGATATTGGGTTCACGTGGGTAGTCGAAGGTATGTATTGTTAAGTGAATAATTATCTCTCCGGTTTGGATGGCATACGCTGCAACTCAATTTTCCCATCCGTCTCTACTAAGCTACTGTATCTTGTTGCATTCGTTCTCTGGAATCTTAGGCTTAAAGGCCTAGCAATCGTAACTCATACGACGAAGGGTAGGACAATACCAACATGAAGCAGGTAGTCTACTACCAACCAGTGCATTGATGATGCATGATAAGCCTAGAAGGGTCCATCCTTGGGCACGTAATTGCTGTTGATTAAGTGTAAGCAGTTGATGCATGGGTGAATTATCAATTATATATGCTAGGAAAAATTAATTGTCAACTATTTCAGTTCGTTTTTCAAATAAATTTGAGGTTAACTGTAAATAAATTATGTGTTAAATTGGCGTGGCAAACTGTTAAGTGGATGCACAAATTAAAGTGTCTGATTCGTTTATCAAGCCAAAAGTAAGGAGAATTTTGTTTCCTATTATTTTAATGGCAAAAGTTCCCCGCTGGTATTACGAATCGTGTTTTGGCTGTGGAGATTTATGCAACACGGCAAAAATGAATATTTTTTTATATAAAAAGAGAAGTTGTAATAGATAATTTCTGAGCGACAAATAGACTCACCCTTCCTTTAAACGTTTCCCAAATTTGTGCTTATGTGTAAAATATGGAACTCTACATAGATATAAATAGATTATGACAAAAGTTTAATTATGCTAATGATACAAACAGTAATATTGTGCTGTACTTAATGCTTACAGTTTTGCATTTTTTTTTCAGTATAACAAACCGTTGTGCGTTTAATACACTCAATAACTGTAAGGAGAAGTTTTTGATTCGTATACTGACTTTGACATTCGATTTCAGAAGTGACTTATCAAATTAAATCCATGATATTGAACCCAATATGCTTCTCTTTGATGATTCGATATCCCCGATCCCTTTGTAGGACGGGGCAGCGTATGTCGGGATAGAAGTAATATTAATACCAAAATGGTAAATCTTTGTTATTCTTATAATTTTTTTAATAATCGAGCACACATTTCAACATTTTTCTTTGTTTTTGTTTCAAAATATGAAGTATAAAAACAATAAAATTTTAGTTATCTATATGTGTGATATTGTATATAATTATTTTTTCTCTTTTTTCCGTTTATCTTTTCTATCGATACATCTTTAAAATATCTCACTAAAACAAAAGAAACACCAACACCGCTCCCAAAAATGTACAAGCACCATTTTCTAAAAGCAATATCGTTTTTGTTTTATTAATTTTAAGAACTAATTTTAAATATTAAAAATGAAAGTATTTATTACTTTTTATTTATGTAAACCGTCATAGATATACTTGTCCCAAGGCCCTCCTTACACTACTTCAACAAACAGCAAGATTCTTTTCGACAGAGTGCATACCTACTTACCAAAAGAGTTATAATATCTTTGTAACATTTTTTAAAAACCTCTTTTCGTTGTATATTATTCACCTTATCATCTTTCTTTTCTATTTTTTCTAATTTATAAAAAAAAAAAATAGTCCTCATCAGATAAGCTAACCCTTGATCATCACTACTTTTTTATTAATGATCAACGAGCTTTTTACATTACTTAACAATAAAGCAGCGAGTGATACGAGTACATAATATAATGATTTATTTATAAAAATCTGTTTTAAATTTATAAAAATAATCAATCGTTTTAAAAACTTTATAAAAACGTTAACAAGAATCAGATTTTTAAAAAATAAATTAAACTAAATATATACCTAGTATTTGAATTTAAAGATTAATGTTTACAAAATTTAAATAATATTTCTTCCATCTCATGTCATTAAAAATTACAACAAAAATACCTAACAATATTTTTTTGATAATATCTTTTATTATTAATTTTTAATTAATATCCTAAAAATACTATACAACATTTATCACTAATAATATATGGTATAAATGAGGGTATATATAAGTATGGATTTATTTTCATCCATATGCATACCTATAAAATATTTGGGTGGCCACATACAATCTCTCTCTATTAGAAACCTACCGAGCCAAGTGGGGACCCGTGTGCAGGGTTAGTGGGAGAGGTTTGGGGACAACGGGCGTTGCACTGCTTTCTAGGTAATACAACATATATGAGCAAGTGGCTCAAGTGGGGACAAAGTGAGTACCAAGCATCCCTTAATGTCGACCCTACTATCTCGTAGATCTCATTAGGTGGGTACATATACATTGTTGATAGGACAACGTAGAATTGTCACATACTACTGTATATATATCTAAGTTATATTATGCTTTGAAGGAGAAGACATACGTGGTACAAAATTTCCTTTTCTGTGGTGCGCCAAATCAAAGATGGAGAGCTTGAGAAGTTTTCGGATCCTTTGTCTAATCATCGCAATGACAATTGTTGGGCTTAGATGTGACGAGCTGAAAAATGGCAATGCTGATCCTAGTCAAGGCAATGCCACTTTTGATGTAAATCATGAAGTAAAAGGAAAAGACAACAGCTCCTACAGCAATAAAGTGGACGTCAAAAGTAGTTGGTATTATGGCGGCGGTGGAGGAGGAGGAGGAGGAGGAGGAGGAGGAGGAGGAGGAGGTGGTGGTGGTGGAGGTGGTGGTGGTGGTGGTGGTTATGGATGGGGATGGGGTGGTGGAGGAGGTGGAGGTGGAGGAGGAGGTGGGGGTGGTGGTGGGGGTGGTGGTGGTGGGTGGAAATGGGAGTGTGGAGGGCAACCAAAGCATGGTAAAAGGAAAGGAGGGGGAAGAATGGCATATCATTATAAGGCACATAGGAAAGGGATGTTTGAGAAGGAGTATATGGTAGGTGAGTTTGCACAATGCATGGCAAGGACACGATGCCGAGGCATGAGGTTAAATTGCCCACTTCATTGTGGTGGACCTTGTTACTATGACTGTCATCATATGTGCAAGGCTCATTGTAGCCGACCCTGAATAATTCTCCAACCAATTTTTTATTTTTCTCCTAAGTTCATGTTGGTTCTCATTCATAATTATGATCTCGGATGAATTAGTGGTCTACATTAATCGGTTTCTTTAGATAAGTTGACAATGATTTCAAAATTTTAGCATGTTATGTACTAATTAGTAAACCATGTCTTATATATAATGAGTTCATTTTATTTCGTAAATATTAGTTTCTTCTCTTTCTTTTTTTTGGAATGCCTGGAATTTAAGAACAGTCACAACTACGTAACATTTATTGACACAAAGCAATGTCCGCAGCCATAGTACATTAGGCTTTAACATGCGGAGAGGGAGAGCGCAGCAGAAAGGTTCCCCTCCATTTCGCAGAGGATTTATCATAGCATTCACTATATACGCATGCGGAATCTTTGCCTTTTGTCAGGGAAGAAATGTTATTTAGCCTTTTTTTTAAGATAAGGTACATTCATTTACCAAAGCTAAACGAATAGAAAATTGTAAATGATTGAGTGATCTACTAACTAAAGTGGTTCAGTGGTCCTATTGTCTTCTTGTTAACAGATGTTGCTAAAACCACTGTAAACAGAGCTGTCAAAATGTAATGGGCTACTTCATTTATTTTGGTCAGTCTAAATCAGGTTTAAAAGGCTTTTAAAAAGGGCTTAATTATTTTAAAAAAGGCTTAAAAAAGTCTCTATTTTATTTAAGCTGTAAAACAAAGGTTTAATTATGTGACTATAAACAAAGGAATCGTGTGATTTGTGCTTTTAAGCTATCGAAATTTCAAATTTACTTAAAGTGTAATTAAATCTAATTTTAATAAAAAAATTTCTAACACTTCAAATTAGACGCTGTAATATCAATAATTGATAAAATTACCACTGAAATTAGCAACTAGATTTTGAGTTTGATGTATATTATAAATTTATGGTCCACGTCAGTTTTATTTCATGCAGGTCTTTTTATTTTTGAGTCTGAACTAAGTTAGTCTAGTTTGGAAATTTATTTAAAGTCCCATTTTGCAGTAATATTTCAAAATAAATAAGAAAAAATTATATTTAAATAAGTTAAGGGTTTAAAATAATAAATCAATCAATTTAAGTTTTAAATTATATATAATTAAAATATTGTTATTATTATTGTTTGATCTATTTTCATTCTTGATGGATCTAATTAAAGTTGAACTTAATGTGAGTTGACCGTGGTTTTACTGCATTGTTAGTACGCACAGGAATGAGCACGAAGGGTGGTTTCTCTTAAAGGTATTCCAATGCTAAAATCACTGTTTGTACTAATAAGATAATAGGAGAATATATTGTATAGCTTATATAATGATGTGACCTATTTATATAAAATTTAGATTGGGATACAAGTAATGCATAGTTATAACACTAACAATTGTATAAAATATAGTTTTGGTGGGACAATAATAGAAGATTATGGGAGTGATATGGATGTGTGTGTATAGAGCATTAAGTGTGCATATATTGACATCTAAGTAGTAGACTCTGAATTTAATATATAACCTAAGTGCGTCCCAGACCATCGGCAGTTTGAAAAACTTATTTAATAAAATATTTTTAATTTTAAATGATATAAAATCTGACCTCTTTAAGATAAATATATTTTACATAAATATCAATATAACTAATTTAATAAACAAGTCTAATCAAAATTAAGTTGGATATAAACTAGATTATAAATTTTGACCGAAACTTGACTTAGATTTTGCTTAGAAACAAACTATATGAAAATTGAGACATGATTTGAACTTTTACCCATAACCCACACCGTGTTCATTAAGCATGGTTAGATGTATTTATATGTATAAAAAGATAAAATAGTCAAATATAATACCATATTTGATGTATTTGTAGTGATCCAGCGGCAAAGTTTTGACAATAATGTCACTAAAAGTCCATATGTAAAAGTAAAGTTGTGAATGCTAAAAGTGGAGGAATCATCGTACAAGCCAAGTCCCAATATTCCACGATCGAATAGTTTTCTCATATGAAAAAAAGAAATTGAATTGCACCCCACTTTGCCTTTTCTGGTTCATAACACGATTCTTTACTGAGTAAAACTTTCTGCCTCTGAGAATCAAAGCACGAGTGCACTTCTGATCCATATATATGATCATGAAATTTACACGCTTCTACTGATAATTTATTTTCATTTGTTATATTTTCTTATATCAAGCCGTTCTCTGTTTTTGCTTTTTGAGAAATAGATTTGACAAGATTTGATACCTTTTTCAGCCAATCAAATATCAACAATAATTGTTGACAACGTGCAACGATGAATAGGCATTTGGCGATGATTTAACTAATCCAGTATTTGCATCCAGAACTCTGCCAAACAAACTATATCTCACCTGCTCATGTCGTCAATTCAGAAGAATCGTAGCCAAAAACAAAGTTTAACATTACCAATCCTTTCTCGATTAAATACCCAAATTTGAAACGCAACAAACATAACGATGATGGCTACGGTCGGCGGCCAAGTTCCTTGTTCCCGCGTAGAGACAAACCCATTTTCCTGCATTCGATACCTTTTAACCTTCTTCTGCCCCCACCTCAGCTCATGTCTCTTAGTAGCTTGATTGCTATCATCATCATCATCATGTATATATATATGAATTAGATTAAATAATATGTTAAATTTTAAAACCACATGTTTAATAATATTTTTTAAGAGTGAATTTTATGAATTTAATCGTTTTATTTAAATTTTCTATAAAATAAATTAATTGGAAAATTTTTTATATAATTTAAATACCAATTAATATTTTATCATCTCATTGTATTTTAATTTATGATATATTATTTAAAATATAAATAAATATTATTAGATTATATATTTACAAATATTTAAATTATATAAAATTTCATACATATAATTTCATGACAAAATTACAATAATATTAACAATTGAGTTAATAAATTTTTTGAATACAAAAATATTATTTTACAAAATTTAATATGTAACATCCTAACGCTACACGTGTGGGTAGGGGGGAACCATCTTCTTCCTCATCTTTTCTCCATTAAAGTTTTAGGTGTCTTCAATGGGACAGCCCATTCTCATGGCCCCTGACCAAAAAGTAAGGCCGAGTAAACGTTTTCCTGCTTCGATAGGTGGAAGTTATTATATAAAAAAAAAAAAGAATCATTAAATTACTTCGAAAGCTTGAAAGGCATTTTATAACTTGAATATTTTTAGGATTATTTTGTAATTAAAGCTAAAGTTTCTATTTAATAATTAATGTTACTTTTTATTGTGTGAATTATTAAAATAAAATTTTAATTTCATTTTAAGAAGTATTAAAATTATTTAAGAATTTGTTCAGTAAATGCTCTCAGACCAAAACTGTGAAAATAAATACCGCCTAACTTATGTAGGCCCATTTATGCTGGGTGGACTGTTAATAATAACTTAATATTTTTGAAGGGTAAAATTTAAATGGAATATTTAACACGTTGAAATAATCCTATTAGTTTATCCACACGTTCGGTTTTAATTTAAATAGAATCCGATGAATATTATTAGTATCATTCTTTAATTAAAATTAGAGTTTGAGCTGATAATACGTGTAAGTAAAACTCTAATCTTAATTAAGGAATAACATAAAAAAAAGAAAAAAAATACCTGCGATTGTACACGGTAGTTTTGTCCGTTCATCTTGAATCATAATTATGCTTGAAATTTATTCCTAATTAGACTAAATTGATAGAGATATGAGATTTTGCTGGGGACCATAATAAGTCATCATGACTTTAGTTCATCCTTGATTTGCTCACATGATCGGTTCATCCCTCGTGATGTTGGTTAAAAAGATCCACAACCCCTAAGCTCTTATTAACTCAAGCTCGAGTGATACTCAACATAGGTGTAGCATATCCTTGCATAAAATTTTAGCTCTCTCTTTTTAAGATGTAGCAAAAACAATCTCAACATCCAGAGCTCTTAAAAGTTAAAACGTTCATATTTACAACGTGAAAGAGAGACAATAGTTTATCAAGTACACAACCCGGTTGAGGGAGAAGTAGACAAGAGTGAGTTCAAAAAGGAGAGGGCAAACCACCCCCCCCCCAACCCCAAAAAAAAAAATACAAACAGAACCAAAACAACAAGGGGAGAGTGAAATTCAAGCCACATAGTTTGAGGGGGGAAAAAGAAGCCAAAAGGTTCGAAACTAGGTGGCCTAAAAAGTTGAATCTGTTTTACCACAGAAGTCTTGGTCTCTTGGATGCATTCATGATGGGAGGGCTTAACTGTGGAACTATGAAATTATCATCTCCAGACCTTGATCTGTTGCTTCCTTCCCTTGTCTCTCTGTACCCATTTTGCCCATCCATTTGTATAGAAAAAGGTGCTTGAGGAACCCATATACCACCGGCCGAAAAAGAAACCAAATTTCCCTTATCGATATCACCATCAAGCAGTGACAACATTTCATCACCATTCTGTATAGTTTCATCATCAACGTACCAATTAATAAACTCACATCCAATTAAGCATTAATTCAGAGAAAGATAAAACTTATATGCAATACTTGAGCTGGTTTTAGTATTCTTCTTTCATTAAAACTTGAGTTTTACTTCAAATTATGCAGGTCCTTTAATATCTGTCCAAACTTGAATATTATTTTAGTTACCTAGATGAAACTTGAATTTTGAGCAAAGTACAGTAACATAAACCAATGCATTTGGTGGATAACTAACCTTAGAGGAAGCAAAGGGAACAGAAGGTGAGTCGAGGAAATCTTCGAACTTCCAACCAGGGATAGTGTTGATCAAGTACTCCGATATGCTACTCGTGAAACCAGCTTCTTCATTGGTATTCATAGTAACAGGAGTTGGCACTGTTGAAGGAGAATTCGAAGCCTTGGTCATCAAAGGTGGATGTGAATCGAGAACAAGGTTTTTCTTGGAATTGGAAGAAGAAGTAGAGGGTGTTGATGAATAAAGCGTGCAAGTAGCAGAGAGCCTAATCCCAGTGAAAAGAAACCTGTTATGGTTCTTGGTAAGGTCGTTAGCAGAATGAATGGAAAAGTCACACTCTTTGCACAGAATCGCTCTATCTTGCTGACAAAACACAAAAGCTCTTCTCTCCTACAAATCCAATCACCAAACAAAACTTCTTCATCAACAACAACTATAGTGAAATTATAATAAACAAGTATACACATATATATGTTCAAAACCTGAACTCAATACAACTAGTTAAGTTGATCCACGTGCTAGTTAACATATTTTGGGTGGTTTAAAAATAATTAATTAATTAATTAGTTTAATTACCTGGCAAACATCACAGGTGGAATGGTGTTTTGCAGAAGGTTGGGTGAGAGAGAAGCGTTGATGTTTGGAGGCGAGTTTATTGGCATGGTGGACACGGTGGTCGCAGGCGTCGCAGAGGGCGGCTTCGTCGGCGGTGCAGAAAATGGAAGCGTGGTGTTTGTTACAAGCGTCGCAGTGGATCTTCATTTGATTAGTTGGGTGAGGGTGTGATGAGTGAGGATGGGCTTTGCTTTGGGTTTGGATACCCATTAAATTAAATACACCCAGACGCGTCAAGTCACTTCAAAATAAACAACGCCAGTTTTGCTGTCATGTTTCACGTTCTCTTAAATATTGACTCACTTAATTATGCAGCTTCAATAGGTTAAATATCTACGTTGACCACATCAGTAATTCAATCTTTTCTTTTTTAGCATTTTTTAATTTTTGGTTATCAAAAAGTTTAAGTGAATTAGAACCCAAACAATTAAATTGATAAAATTTATTTTTATTACTCATATAATTGCAAACTGGTGTCTCTCCAAAAAATGTGAGTTAAAATGTGGTTCAGTGTAAACCCAAATATACATAATACCCGTTTGAATTAACTCATTTTGAGAGAATCAATTAAGATAGTTTAAGTATGCAAAAACCACTAAAAAAATTACATAAACTTTTTATTTTATAAAACAAATAGGGAAAGAATAGATTATGTTTAAAAAAATTTAAAATTTAGAATAATCAATATTTTAAAAAATTAATCGAGTAAGATAATTTGAGTATGTAAAAAAATGCTAAAAACACAAAAAATAAAAGTTACATAATTTTTTAATTTTATAAATTAAATAAGGAAAGATAAATTATTTTTGGAAAGTTTAGAAAATTAGAATAAATACTTTTTTTTTTTACTTTTTCTAATCGAGTGTAATAACTTTCTATAACTCGTGCATCTGACGTTATTTAGTAGGATAAATTTAAACTATCATTAAAAAGGAACTTTACGCATGCTAAGAGAGCTTTTATTCAATCATCACTGCGCTTAGGAACTATATAATATAAAAAATAAAGATACTTTTTTTTAATAAAATAAAACAAAACAAAAGAGATGAATTCTTATTTAAATTTCTCAAATATAAGCATCAATTAATTTAATTTGCCATTAAACATCATTTATTTTAATTTTATATACAAAAAATGAATGACTTTTTAAAAAAATCAATGACTAAGTAATTAACTCTCACACTCTTAATAACTGAAATGGAATTAACTCAAATGAAAACAATCACGGTGACGAAGGGTCTTGCGTATGCATTTGATAACACAATATATTAATAAAACGTAGAGGTTTCTACTATATCATCATTAAGAAAGAAAAAAAAAACTTTACACACACGTAAACGTACAATTTCCCCACACCAAGGAAAAAAAGCATCATTGCATTAAGCCTATATTTGACTGTTATAGTTATTATTTAACAAAAGGTACCTTAGTAATAGGCTTTTTTTATTTTTTATTTTTTTTTACCCTTTTGAATTATTTTGATAACTAATTACCAAAATACGGTTGCATGTAAATAAATTCACAGTCTAGAGATGGGTGTTCACTTGACAGCAATATTGTCTAAAACAATGATAACATCAAAAAGTAAAATTGTCTAATAACCAGATGACTCTAGTGTTTACCAAATAAACAAAAAATAAAATAAAAAAAATCGACGGTTGAGGAAGAATGAAGCCACATATATAAATCTTAGAGAATCGTTTGGGTCACAGTCAATTTCAGTGTCGGTAGGGTTAATGACTATTCAAGAGTGTCGTTTGGGTCAGGAACAACACTCTTTTCATTGGTCCACGTGGCAGAAAAATTTGACCGTTTGGCGCAGACTTCTTTCTTTCTTTCCCTTTCTCTTTCATCTTCTCTGTTTTGCATTTTGTTGCAGAGCCTTGTCGTTGCGGAAAAAAATACAAAGTATATTGGCATTTTATTGGCTTTTGGTATTCAGATTTTTGAGGAAAAAATTATCACAAGGTAATGAGACAAATATTTTGACTATATTTTGTTTTTTAAATATGAAATTGCATGTATCTAATATTGAGATTGTGGTGGAGATGAAATTGTGGGTAAGTGTTTAGGGAGTCAGTGAGTGGAGCTCATGAAGAAGAGAAGAGAGTTCCTTTAAATTCATATCAAAGTGCGGAGGTGCACAAATTTTTTTTAGTTTTTAAATACTTTATAAATTAATTTCTTTATTTTGGAACAAATAAAAATTTAGATAAATTGTATTAGAAATTATATAATATATATGTTATTATTTATAATTAGTTGTTTAAAAATGTAATAAATAAAAATTATAGCAATCCATAATATGTATTAATTATTAAATAAAAAAAATTATTTTAATAACTTGATAAATTAAGAGAAAAGAATAATATATATAAATATATAGTTTAGAAAAAAAATAAAAAACATGATAATGAAAAAAAAAAAAAAATATATATATATATATATATATATATATAAAGAATGCAGTGAAAATATTAAATAATTAATGTAGAAGAAACAATAAATTTTCATATTTTGATAGTAAATTGATATATAAAAAAATTAGTGAAATAAAAAATATTAGATATAGTAAATACAATATTTTTATTAAAAGAACATATACAATTATATTATAAAATAGATAAAATATGAAAAAATAATAATTATAAACATATTTAAAAGATTATATTCATAAAAAAATTAGCAATAAAATATAATAATTATGTCATCAAATTTATTTAAAATATTACATATTTAAAAAAAATTATAATTTAAGAAACAAAATTATTATTGAATAATTATAATAAATTAAGAAAATAATGATTTTATGAAAATTAACATAACAGAAGTTTTACTTTAACTAAGAAAATTTTATTGTTCTTTACAAATTTTATAACTATAAAAAATTTATAATTTTTTTGCCAACCTTTAACATAAGAACTTTTACAAAATTTTAGAAACATTTATTTTTTTTTACATGTATAACCTTCATAATTATTGAACTGTTTAAATTTTTTAATAATTATTGTGATAATGAAATTAAACTTTAAATAGGAGTAAACTTTAACTATTGTGAGGGAACACTTTAATAAAATTAAAAAAATAATGATTTTATGGTTTAATATGAAGAATTACAGAAAAAAATTAGGTGTGATAAAATTATGTATTTATTTATTTTTTGTAATTATAAAATTTGATATACAAAGTGAACTTAGTGCATGAAAATATGCTTTGTTTATAATTTTAAGTAAATAAAAAATTATATATAATATTTAATTAAGTGCATGTAATTATATTTATTGCTACATATTAATTGTAAAATAGAGTTTAAAAGTTGTTAAATTGTTAATAAAAATAAACAATATAATAATGAAATGAAAAAAAAATTAGGTTAATTTTAAAATTTGAAATTGTTATAGTTAAATAATTGTAAAAAAACACATGTACTAATAATGAATAATAAAATGATAGACTTAATAGAATTTTTAATTTATTAATTGTAACATACATAATTTAAGTTTTTTTTGACAAATTTAATTTCAGATGATATCATCTTCATTGCGAAGTAGGGTTTTAAATCTTAGTCCAAAGGATGGTTCATTATTGAGGTATCAGTCTGTTCATGTATCAGAGCATATTTGGGATTAACATGACCATCAAATTCTAAAAGTGAGAATGAGTTATTTCATATTTGCTCACATAAAGAGGTTTCAGTGGAGATACTTCGTCATCTTACTTTTGTTGGATTTATTGAGGTAGTTCAGTTGGCATGTTTTCCTTCTTATGTATATACTCTCTCTCAACCTTTTCAACTTTGATTATGTTACTTTTATTCGTTATTTTATTCCATTTAAACAAAATTTTGCCACAAATATTTAATTTACTCCTCATTTCACCCACTTTTAATTATTAATCATTTAAAGATCTTGTTTTTTCCCTTCCCTTTTATTCTTAACCAAGAACAAGATAATAGTGGTGTCAAATGACGCAAAGAAAACAACAGTGTGTAAAGCTAATTTTAAGATCACTAAACAAAATTGATAATTATATTTAAATTTTATTAATCTCTATTTTTAAAAATAGAATAATCAGTTAATAATAATAAAATTTTATTAAAAAATATTTATTATATTTTTATAATTTTAATATAATAATTATAAATTTTTTATAAATTTTTTTATTTATAAATACTTAAATTTAATCATAAAAGCTGAGGTTAATAAAACTTATTATATTTTAATTGTGAAAAAAATAATAACGCCATTGTTTTTTCATTTATAAGAACACACCCTCTCTCTATAAAAGCTTAAGCAAGTTTTAGTAACAAATTTTACTGAAATTTGAAATACAAATTTACTTAAACAAATTTTAATTCACTTAAATAAAAATAAAATTAAAAATTTAGTTTATGTCTTAACAAAAAATGATTTAGATTTGATTTTGTTTACAACTTATATTTTTTAAATTACTATAAAAAATACAGAATAAATAAGAAAATTTTGTAATTTAAGCACGTGTGGATTTTATTTTATATGTAGTACTTGTAATAAATTTTAAAATTTTTTAAAAAATAATATAAAGGATCCTCAAAATTTAAGAGAAGAAATTGAAGAATAAAGTATTGTAAGACAGTATTTTGTTTTATTTTTTAAATAAACAATAGTGTATTTTTTTTTTAGTATTTAACAATGAAGTACACATGATTAACTCGTTAAATTATTATTTTAATATTTTTTATCGAATTTTATTGTGATTAATCAAGTAGGTTATTAAATAAAAAATTTACAATAAAATGGACAAACTAGTCATAATTAGAGATAAAAATAGGTTAAACCGTCCAACAGAGGTTTACAGTTTAGCCTTTTTAAAACCTAACTCGACTTAGCCTATTTAATCAATAGGTTTAACTTAAGTTATTTAAAAATTTAATTAATTAAATATGTCAAGTTTGAGTTTAAGAAAAAAATCTATTATAGTCTATTTAAAATTTATAATAATATATTAAATAATTTTATATAAAAATTATAATATAATAATATATTGAATCAATTAAACTTTAAAATAATAAAATCTTAAATTAAAAACTCTAATAATTTTCGTTAGAGTTGAAGGTCTCTACTACATACTTTCTATGAGTGAGAAGTTCTAATAATGTATAAATATTGAATCTTTTGCGATAATTAT